AGTTAGTGAAATTTGCCCCAGACATTTCAGATTAGGGATATTTGGCATACCAATTTGTGGGCAGGGACCTGAAAGTCTTGGTGGGCCATCATCGCCCCCCACCCCGGGACCAACAAAGGAGGCCACAACACCAGACCCCGCCAGCCTGGTCTGAGGTTACTAGCTGATCTCCACAGTCCAGTGAAAGCACTGCAGTGTAGGAAGGAGGTCAATAACCTTCTCTACTTCATTAGGTTAAATATGACCATCTCCTCTGTGCTTTCTCACACTCACTCCATTTCTGCTACTGCACCCATTTCACACCAAGGCTCATGATCTACCACTCTCACTATCACATGAGACATCTTCCCTCAATTGCTGTCACCCACCTCATTCTGACAGAATATTAACTCTGCATGGCCTCTGTCCCTCATACTCACTCAAACAGGACACCTTACCACATTTCCCACCTATACCAGCAGTAAAATCAGTGCCAGCTACTCACATCTCACTCATTCCCTCCCCTTGTCTTATTCCAGGAGAAAATGATGTACAGCTGGGGAGGAAGAACCGAGGGTGCTGGGGGGCCGGGGGAGGGGTGGGTGTTGGTCATGGGGGCCTGACATTCAGGAGAGGATCCTAACCATGACTGACCCAATCTACCAACTGACCATGCCGAAGCCCCTGGATAGACAGTACTGTGACCCCCTGACTGATTGCACATGCCCCTTGACTGGACTCAGGACTACTCCTCATAGTCTTTGAGACATCACCATTTGATTGAAGTGCATGCGGGGTGTTTGCCACGTAGGCTATTGGCATATGCTTTGGGTGTGCCTCAAGATTAGAGGGAGCAGATTTAGGACTGAACTGAGAAGGAATTTCTTCACCCAGAGGGTTGTTAATTTATGGAATTCCTTGCCCAGTGAAGTAGTTGACACTACTTCAGTAAATGTTTTTAAAAAAAAGGTAGATTTTTTTTTGAACAATAAAGGAATTAAGGGATACGGTGAGAACGCGGGTAAGTGGATCTGAGTCCACGAAAGGATCAGCCATGATCTTATTGAATGGCGGAGCAGGCTCGAAGGGCCAGACGGCCTACTCCTGCTCCTAGTTCTTATGTTCTTATGTGTGAGACTGACAAAAGGAAGGTGCTGTACGAAAACATTCCCAGCCCCTTGACTGATCATTGCTGCCAACCAGGACAGCTGTCTGGCTTTGTGTCTGCACTGAACAGCGAGGCAATACAGATAGACTATGTGAGCCTTTAAACTGCAGCTGAGGGAGCAAAGCACCAAAAGGCAAAGCATAGGTGCTGTGATCATCCAGGTAGGTACAAAGTGAGTGCACACTAAGACAGCAGGCAAGCAGCCCTGGCGTGCAGCCTTGGCCAGTCCACGATCTGGGGGTCCTTGCAGCAGGTGCTGCCATGCTGCAAAGTGCAGCACTGAAGTAAATGGATCAGAGATGTACCACGGGGATGTGGTGAGGCTGGTATGTGTTGGACCACAATGTCCATGGACAGTGGGATGCATGTGGCTACTACCCCTGGGATGTTGGTGCCTGGTGTCCAAGATGGATGTCCAGATGAGCAAGTGAAGTACCTGGTAACCACTCAGGCATTCATACCTGGAATGCTCAGTATCTAGATTCTATCTGCAGGTGGGAGGATGGGAGCCTGTATGTTACTGAGGTAAGATTGGGTAGTGACGAGGGTGATGATGAACAATAAACCCTGTGGAAAAGCCTCTCATTATTCTCTTGTGAGAATTGCGTCTTGACATCCAGGACTCTGTCTGAAAGTTAGACATTTTTGTCTCAACTTCAAGAAGGGCCTCGCTCAACACATCACCTGATTTTCACAATAGCCCACATCGCTCAGGTACTGGGAAGAATCTACTGATGATTTTAAGCAGAACTGGATGCTGGTTGTTGGCGAATTATGGGAATCTTAATCCCTTTACTCATCAATTATTTGTTTTTGTTTAATTTTTAACTAAACATTTAACTGAAATCAAATGTTTCAGTTCTATATATCCCAGCCTTAAGCAAGGTTTTACAAGGTCTCCACTGCAATAGCAGGTGAATAATCTGATAATTAAGGAAAGCAGCAGAATTCATTTCTTTTCCTGTAACTGGGGTCAGCTGGCTCTTTTTTTTCAGAAGCATATAAAGCTGGGCATCTCAGTGCGACTTAGCACTGAATGCAGCTTTGAACAGGCAAATTTGGTTAAGGTATATGTCAATGGAGCTGCAGTGGCCAACATTTAAGGATATATTTCAAAAAGCACAGAATACATACATTCCATCAAGAAATAAGAATTACAAGTTGTAGACCGACCATCAATGGTTAACTAAAAAATAAAACTAGTACTAACATAAATAAAAAGTATATAATTGTACAAAGTGGCACATCAAAAGATTGAACAGAAAATAATCACTGAAAGATCAATAAGGAGGTAAAATTAGAGAATGAGAAAATACTTGCTGGGGCGGCACAGCGGCTCAGTGGTTAGCACTGCTGCCTCAGCGCCAGGGACCTGGGTTTGATTCCACCCTTGGACAACTGTCCGTGTGGAGTTTGTACATTCTCTCTGTGTCTGCGTGGGTTTCCTCTGGATGCTCCGGTTTCGCCCACAGTCCAAAGATGTGCAGGCTAGGTGGATTGGCCTTGCTAAATTGCCTGCAGTGTTCAGGGATGTGTAGATTAGGTGGGTTATAGGAGAATGGGTCTGGTTGGGATGCTCAAAGGGTCGATGTGGACTTGTTGGGCCGAAGGGCCTGTTTCCACACAATAGGGCTTCTATGATTCTATGAAATATCAAAAAAAAGGTAATAAGAGTTTCTCTTTTCTTAAATGTTAACACACTGACTGTTTGCCCTATAGAAAATGAGTCTTGGGAATTAATATTGAAAAATAAGGAGACAGCAGATGATTCGACAGGGTATTTCACATATAGAGGATATCAGTAATATTCCAGAAATAGTAAATCAGGAAATGGAAGGGAGGGAGAAACTCAAAAGAATTATAATCAAAAGGGAAACGGTGCTGGGAAAGTCTTTAGAGCTATAGGCTAAGTCCCCAGATTCTGATTGACTTCATCCTAGGCCTGAAAAGAAATGACTAAAGATAATTGAATTGCTGATTCTAACTTCCTAAAATTTCAGAGACCCAGGGAAGATTCTATTTGACTGGAAGACGGAAAACATAACTGCTTTATTCGTAACAGGGGGACAGCGTAGGAAACAATGGGCCAGTTAACTTAACACCTCTCCTAGGGAAAATGTTAGAAGCTATTATTAAAGGCATTAATTCAAGATACTTAGAAAAATTCAAGGTAATCAAGCAAAGTCAACATGGTTGGTGAAAGGAAAATAGCTTTTAATTAACTTATTAGAATCTTTGAACAAGTAATGTACTGTGGATGAAGATGAACAGTTGGATGTGTTGGGATTCCAGATGGCATTTGTTAAGGTGCCACATCAAAGGTTACTTCTGAATCAAATAAGCTCATGGTGTGGGGGATAACATTGAAACAACATCACAGATGCTGGTATTCCGTCACCATGTCACCCTATATTTACACATGAACAATTCTTGACTATAATACTGCCTCATACAGATTCAGGCACCAGAGTGTCAGTATCTCTGACTCTCACCCATTTTATCTGTCAGACAGGGTTCCCTAATTGGACCAGATTAACAGCCACAATCAGGGAAATCATTCTATGGGGTCCAGCTGGCTGACCTCCTTACAATCACTACAAACGTGTTGGCATGGTTAGAAAATTAGGGGGCTAACAGGAAACAGTAAACATAAATTGGCCTTTTTCTGGTTGGCAACGTACAAGGAGAGGTTTGCCGTGGAGTTTAGTGCTAGGACCTCAATTTATATAAATTGTAAAGAAGTTAATTTTAATTAACACAGCAAAGGTAAAAGAACTGGTGATGGCACAATCTAGGTAATAAAGTAATTTGCAAAGAGGACTTAAGAAAGCTACAAAAGGAATATTGATGGATTAATTGAATGAACAAACATGTGGCAAATGGAGTAGAAAGTGGGAAAATGTGAAGAATAGAAAGAAGCATATTATACAAATGTTGAGAGATTGCAGAGCTCTGAGATGCAGAGGGATCTGGGTGTCGCAGTGCATGAAGGATAAAAGATTAGAATGCAGATACAGTAAGTAATTCAGAAAACTAATAGAATATTATCACTTATTTCAAGGAGAATTGGATATAAAAATAGCGATGCAATGCTTCAGCTAAAAAGGACATTGAAATTACACATAGTTCTCCAGATGTGAACTCACCAAACTCCTTGTTTAAAGGAAGGATGTAAATGCAGTGGAAGTCCAGGGAAGGTTTACCCGACTGGTATTTGGAATGGGTGGCTTGATGGAGAAGGAAAAATTGGACAGACAAGACTTGTATCCACAGAGTTTAGAAGAGTTAGAAGCAACTTGACGGAGAAACATAACATCTAAAGAATCTTGACAGGATGGATGTTTCCTCTTGTGAGAGAAGCTAATATTAAGGGTCACTATTTGAAAATGAGGGTAGCCCATTTCAGACTGATATAGTGGATTGCTTTTTCTTTGAATTTCTGGAGTTTATGGAGCTGTCGTCAAAGGGAGCTCAACATATCCTTCAGTTATTTGTGTCTGGCCCTTTAACCAGCATATAAATATATGCCATGTTAAAACTGAGAGGAATGGTAGATTTCTCCCATTCTTAGCCCTTCTGTTAGAACTCTGTCACTTGAGCCAATTCCTACGAGTGGCATCAATTGACTTAGCACTTTGATATCCCACCAGCCCCTCCTGGTCCTAGGGGACGGAAATTAGCTTTATACAGTCCCTCATCACAGGCCAGAAGCAACCCATAGGTGCATCAAACATTTATCTTTTACACCAACTGATCAGTGCTAATGGCCATCGCTGATTATAATACAAATGGATTAGTTTAACAATAAAATCTGACACAAATGAAAAGACTCACTGGCAAGAACTCAAACCAATCATTTTAGGATTACTTTTATTTTTTAATGATCTCTGGAAAATATGCACATCTTTCTACATTTAACTTCACACATGGTTAGATGATCAATTCTTCAAAACTGTGCAGATTTTACAAACACCTTTGACCCCCAATACTACCACCCATCACCTTCCCACCCCGATGAAGCAAAAACATCTCATCAAAATCAGGACTTGAAACCAAAATGTAAAGCAGTGGTTATGCCAGTTTATCAATACCTTGAGTAGGAAAAATTTGACACAGCCCCATGAGGCATAGTGCACAAAGGTAAGATAGACAGGACATTGAAATACCCTCACACTGTGACTCAGAGTTGGAACATGAGTGCTATCCTGTATAAAGGCAGAGAGGAGACCAATCCTTCCCTCATAGTAAGAGAAGTAAAAGCAATCGTGGGAGGGGAGCTGATGGCATAGAGGTAATGTGACTGGGCTAGTAATCCTGATACCTAGGCTAATACTTGGAGTAATAGAATTCAAATCCTACCATAGCGGGATAAATTCAATTAACAAACTCTCACAGTGAGAGCCAGTCTCAGTAATGGTGACCATGAAACTATCACGGTTTGCTATAAAAACTCATATCTGTTCACTAATGTCCTTTACAAAAGGAAATTTTGCAGTTGGAAGAGAAGCAGGTCTCCCATTAACTACCTGGAGATGGAATAGGAGAGAGAGATTTCAGGGCAGAAAAGATGCACTTGAGAAAGAAAGAAGAGGCGAAGTATGAGCACCCAACATGAACTTAATCACAAGGGATTCTCAACTGATAGTCACTTGGTGCTCGCTCTGGAAACCGGGTGACCAACAAAAGATGAAATCTGGTGAGATGAAGTCACTGAGTCACAGAAACTTACAACAGGGAATGAGGTCATTCAGCCCATTGTATCCATGCTGACTGATGAGTCACCATTCGGCCTAATCCCACAACCCAGCCTTGATTCATAGTCTTGTAAATTTCAGCAATCTAAGTTCACATCCAAGTACTTTTAAAATGTTTTAAGGATTTCTGCCTCTACCACCACTGCAGGCAATGAGTTCTAGATCTCCATTGAGCTGTTTCTGAAAGTAGTTGACCTTTGAATCTCCTCTAAACCTTCCACTGCTACTCCAGTTCACAACTCCCATTCACGGTTCCCTCACTAAAGGGGAATATATCCTTCCTCTCCATTCTATCCACATCCCTCACAATTTTAAACAATTATATCTTCTCCATTCCAAAACAAAACAAGTCTAGCCCACACAATCCTTCCTCACAAAGTTCTCTAGTCCAGGTAACATTTCCCTGTACCCTTTCAAGCACAATCATCTTTTCTACACTGAGGTGATCAGAACTGCACGCAGTACACTAGCTATAGCCTAACTACTGTTTTAAACACTTTCAGCATAACCTGCCAGCAATTAGATTTGATTCCTTGGCAAATTAAAGGAAGTATCCCATATGTCTTCTTAGCCAACATAACACTTCATCCAGTCACCTTTAGGGATATATGGACATCACTCCAAAATTCTTTGGTTCCTCTCCCCTTCTCAGTACTCAACCATTTAGTGTGCATCCCCGTACTTTGTTAACCATTTCTAAATGCATTACCTGACACTTCTCTGGATTGAACGCAACTTGCCACTGCTACGCCCATCAGATCAGTCCATTGCTCTCCCTTCTGCAGTCCACAGCTTTCTTCATAACTATCAACCACAAAGCTAATTGTTGCATTATCTGCCAACTTCCTATATTCTAGAGCAAATGATTGATTATAGTCCCATTTGTAACTAATTGCCTGCTTCATTTATTGGATTCCTGTCTAAAACTGGCCAGAGGTTGTTGAAATAAGCAAATTCAGATCCCCATGCCTGTTGTAGAATCTTGATTTTGGAGTATTTCTGTAAGCAGGTAGAGCCCAAAGCATGCACATTTCTTTAAGTATCAAAAAATGAATTGGTAACTCAAAAAAGGATTGCTAGAAGTCTTTCTAAATAAGGTGAGTATCCTTCCAAGTCTCAAAAAAATCTTTTGGCCTGTTGCTGCTCCTACACTTCTCTTCTCCACTATTGTCCTGTATCCATCCCCACCAACTTCCTCCCAACAGTTCTTCTCATCAGCTCATTTTCCACTTCAGAACACAGCCACATGGAAGTGGAATTCCCCATAGCTCATTGTAATAATGTTAATGAGGTCCAAATGTGAAATGGCTGACAGTTACATTGGCACATCTCCAACGTGATCTTTTGGCACCCAAGTAGACAATCTCCCCACATCACTTGTTTTCTCAGGGTACCCACTGAATAGATTATGGCCCTGTGCAAAACTGGGTCATTTCAATACTGTGAACCGAGTGGTTAGTCTACACCACCGTAAATATGGTAAAGTAATTTGCTAAACACACAAAGTTTAACACTTTAACAATTTTCAATGCATTATGTTTTCACTTAAAGTTACAAGTTAAACTGTTTAATACATAAGAGTGAATAGAAAATGAACAAGTATTTTGGAATACAGAAGGTGCATTAATTATGTATGCAGTTTATAACTAAAAATTAAAACAAAATGTAAATATAGCTTATATATAATCTGGGGGGAAAAGTATGCCATTTAACAACGAGAACAGCAATTAGCAGTGTTAGCATTTCATTATTTAGTGAGTTTCATCTTGTGCTTTTTTACTTGAAGCATCTCAGTTGCATCTGGCATCACATCTGTCCACTGAGATTCTTCTGTACTTCTGTCTGCCTGAGCATGCTGATAATAAAGAAGGGAACATGAGCTTTTAGCTTCATGCATAATAATTCTGTGTTAATACTTTGCAGTCATCATCATATTCTATAAGACATCAATCATTCTCTCATTCAACCATCAAGAAAGTATGAAGGATAGCTTCAAGCATTAAAGCTTCAGAAATTTAGGACGCTTTAAATTGCCCTTCACAATAATTTGAAGAATCCCCTTTACATTGTTCTAAGCACATAGACATATTAATGGTTTCCTGCATTTAAGGGGTAATTACTTAACTTGATACTCCCATGGGGAGGCACATCCACTAGAGATCAAATCAGAAATCTGGGTGCACATTGTTCTCTGGCCAATCATTTTAAAAAAGGTTCTCGCAATGATACACAGTCTTTCAATATGTGTTCTAAATGGACAGAATACCCTCCAGGAGAACAAATTCAGAGAATAATCCCTAACTTTCCCGGTTTTATGTTTCATTACATCGATGAATAGTTTCCCCACAGGAATGGATCCAGGTCAGTAAAACTTCAAATACATAAGTGCAGTTTAACCTGAAGATGGAATTTATCGAGACAATCATTTGACACCATGTGCCTCATGTATGTTTGATATTCTTATGGTCCCTGGTGCTTCCCTTTTAAATGTCGCTGTCACATTAAAGCATCACTTTTGGTGAATTCATTACTTTTCATACCCAATGTTACTCACGGAATACGCAGCTTAAAAAACAGAAGACATTAGCTGATTACTTCTACACTGTCAATTTGTTGCCTGTCTATAATGCTCTAGTTCTTATTGATAGAGATTGCAGTTTAAGTTGCTTCAAACAAGGGAGCATTTGGTTTCTGAATAAATCAGGTAAAAAATGTTATAATAATTGTAATGCATGCAAAGGTTTGTGTGTCTGGATCTTACTGTATAAAAGAACAGGTAAAGCAAACACTAGTAAATAAGCAGTTTTTGGTAATTAAATGTACTTTGCAACTAAAGGCATGATAAAAGCACAACCACCAATACTTTAAAATCGTCAACTCAACCTTGCATTTTCCACTGTTCCCCCCTCCCCTCACACCTGCCAATCTGTGACCCAAGGAATCTTTGACTGTTAATCATGTCCTTGAAGGTCATTCACTTCCTTGTGATTAACCCCAAGCATCTACAAGTTGCCTTGTAAGGTCTGAGATTTTTTAGCTCAAGACTGAGCTTTACTCAATTCCTGCATGCTGACTTTGATAAAAAAAAACAAACTCCTCTGGCTTGTAATAACTCAATTCCAATAGCTGTTCCACATCACTTGACAGATTCTTTTGCTTTACCCTCTGTACTCAAGGATTTCGCCCACCAATTTGGCAGGTGTGACACCCACTAGCTGCAATCCCCAAAGGCCTTGTAGAACTACCCCGAAGAAATTTCCAAGGCCTCATGCTTGATTGCTTATCTCTACTGTGTGTCTGATTCTCATTTAGAGGAATTAACTTTTGACTTTAAGACCAAACTTTGATTCTAGGATCCAAATGAAAAATTTATACTTCTAATGAGGTTAATAACCCTCTCTCTAAACTTGCTGGCGGCTCCCAAGAAATACCTTTTTTTTAATCTAGGCACTACATCACTGATTTAAACTCTTACGGAGACAACTGTAGACATCATATCTCTAACAAAAACAGAGTAAAAGTAGCCCATTGTTTAGTGCTTTCACACTTCAACTTCTGACCTCTTTATAGAAGATGAATTATTCTTTGAATCATAACTATTCCAGTAGTATTTACCATCCATATTGTTCAGTCACAGCCAAGGAATCTCAGGTAGTCACTACCTTCAGAGCAACACTTGGACAATCTACCTTTATGTTTATCTGTCAGTCAATATCTGTTCTGGCAGCATGTGGGCAGGATTACAGAAAATGTACCTGGATTGCTGAGGACATTGCAATAAGGGGGGATAAACCAAAACAGGAAGATGATTGGAAAATTCATTCACTGATGATGGGAGCTCGCTGCAGAGGGTGCTTTTTCAACTAAAAGTGGTGCCTGGTGATTGTCAGTCAGTTCAATTTCTTTGGCTAAACATATTCAGATTATGGAATCTATCCAAACCTCAGTAAATTTGAAAATGTAAGACAAATGCCCTACCCCACAAGACAAAGCTGAATCAGAAAGATGCCTTGAATTCCTCAATTTCTTGGCAGCAAACATTTCAAACTTTTCCATCAAAGCATCATCATTGAGAGAGCTGTTAAGAAACATGTATCATGTGTACGGTGAGAGAACCATGATGTAAAGTGAGCGACTTCTATATATTTTAATATCTGTTATTTTTAGAGTTTGGATTTCGAACCAGTGAAATGTGTCCATGAGGGGATTTAATTATTAACTTCTCAGTATTTCTGGACACATGCTTCTTTTAAACAAAAAGGAATGAGAGAGGGACCTCTTGAAATGATAATGCAAATTTGTTTGTATTGGGATAGTTCTACAAACGGACAAAATAAATACTGAATAACATTAGGGGAAACACCAATAGTTTGGAAAGCATTGCATTTCAGTTCACAGAAGTCCTGTTGAAATTAGAGAGATGAAACAGTCCCTCCTGAAATAGGGACATCATTCAGAACAGTTAGCAGGTAGGTTCTCTGTTTGTAAGGGCTTTAGTTTGAACATTTCAGGCCAGAAGCGTATTGTTAGAACCCTGAAGGAATTATTCGAAGCTGAGAAAGTCTAAGCTCAGTTTTGTAAATACTCATGGAAGACGCTATAAAACTCAAAAGGCTAGGAATTGAAACAAGAGCTAAGTCGAATGTATAGATCGGTTACAGAAGTATATCAGCACTATGTATTGATGCTATTGAGATGGGTGTAATTTACTATGTATTTCAATTGTGTTATAATGTAAGCAGCTTGGTTTGTCCTATTTTATCTTTTCTTTTGTGTAATAAACTTTTGTTTTCTTCATCAAATCAGAACTGCAGCATTGTGTGCTCGTGTTCCAATTAAAAAATCATTGTTAATCAAAAGAAAAGATTGATCAAGCCAGATTTTAATCCGAGATCTGACTTGTCCAGTAATAAGTCAGCTGGGATCATAACAACCATCAATATATGTTTGATTCTCTTCATCAAACAAATGTCAACAGAAAATTTAACCCCGTATCACTACACCCCAAGATAGATGGCAATCCTAGAAATCAACACTTCACAGTAAGGGCTATAGCATGCATCATAAATGATGGCAAACCAAATGCATTTGGATCCAGGAGTCTCTTCCAAATGCAATCTAAGTATTCCTATACATATATATGTATAAACAGAGAGAGCGAGAGAGAGAAACAGAGAGAGAGAGAGAGAAAGAGAGAGAAGAAAGAGAGAGAAAAAGAGAGAAAAATAAAGGAGAAAAAAAGAGAGAAACACTTGCTCTAATATTCTGTATCTCAGTAAGCAGTTCACGGTGAAAACTGATCACATACCACTAGAAATTGTTTACCACAAACTACTAACAAACGCTAATACAATTACCTAACTATACAACATCTGGTAAACTTCCAGCAATACTTTACTTGCCAACAACTTGGTACCAAAGCAGTCACCTTGGATACAATAAGCATATTGCCAAACCAAAACAAGAATGTAAACATTCCACTGGATTTATGCATCAACAACATGAACATCAGGGTGTCAGCTGTATTCAAAATTGATCAATTGCATTTTGATTGGCAATGAATCAAGCTTCAATCTGAAACAGTCAAGGAAGGTATTGTGGAACGTTATCATTAAATGGTGGCCTGGTACAATAAAAGAGTTACCAGACATTGTCAGATTCATTTGGCCTTACAGAGATAAACTGATTATCTCAAGAGGCGTCATCTTCAAAGGAAAACAAGTACCTGTATCTGAAGTTCTCTGCCAGAACAACCTGTCACAACTACTCCAAGGATTCTTGCAAGAGAGTGACCAAGATGACTGCCATGTGACAGAACCTATTAGCTAGGGATTAACAATGACATTGAAAATTTAGTGAGAATTTAAGGCATGCCAGAGCCACCAGCCATAAGCAGCATCCAGAACCTGCAAGTGATTTCATCAGTCCCTTGCTTCAAAATCAGCGTTGATTTTTTTTTTTTTTTTTACTGTGAATGGAGACAACTTCATCTTAGCCACTAAAATTTCTCCAAATTTCCAATTGTTCGACTGGTAAAGAACACCTCAAGTGCATCCATGTCAAACATATTAAGTACCTTACTCAGTCTGTTTGGTGCACCTGCAGGAATCTTTTCTGACAATGAACTGGGTATGTGTGACAAACGAGTATGAACCATGTGACATTGCCAACACATTCCCCTTAGCAAATGGACATGCCAAAAGAATACTTTGTACCTTAAAATCAGTCTTCCAAAAGTGAAGAACAACAATGCAAGATATGTGTCAAAATGTTTCACCTCAGAACTACACTTCTAGATATTGGGTTACCATCAACAGCAGAAATCAAGTTCAGAAAGCCAGTGCGAATAATCGTACCTAGTCACCAACTATTTAACTTCTCCAAGATGCAGGGCACACCTCAACAAACTACGAAGGATGAAGCCAGTGCATGACCAACATGCAGGAGCAGAACCGTTTCAACTATAAACAGTTACAGCCACATATCCCATAATGGTGCATTGTTACCCTCAGAGGTTTCCAAAGTGTGCAGTGAGCCCAGAATTTTGAGCTTTAACATCTTATAGAGAGACGCTGAGGAGGAACTGAAACCAGCAAAGGGAGGTGTACAATATGATAGTTGTGCACAGTGAACACAAAGGAACACACACAGATGATAACAGTGCAAAGGGATACCAGGACAGCAATCAACACCCCGATGACATGCCTGCAGACCAAGATCAGCTAAAATTGAAATCCACACTTCCAGACAATTACAACATAACAAGTCCTGAAAGAGTTGACAAATTGATATGTAAACTCAGATTTCTGTATTCATGAATTTTCTAATACCTTCTGTATATCTAATTTTCTATTACCCAATGCAGGTAGTTCTGCCATAATGCATGTTTCATTAACGCAAATTGGCTGCAACATGATTGATGAGTAGTGGACGCTGTTTGGATAACACAAACTTTCTGCTGCACAGGTATAGCGATTTCCCTATAACGCGATTTTCTACGGCATGAGGTCATGTAAGAATGCGACTATTACGTTTTAAGAGATTTACCTGTGTTTATATTTTTTTTAGTTGCAACATAAAAGAGTTTCCTTTGGAAAAAAGGTGATGTTGTGATATCACCCTTGGAGTGATGTCCCTTTAAGAGATTAACATACAAATAAACCAAGTACACAAATGTTGTCACAGCACAGGCCACAGGCTCTCTGCACTTCAACACTTGAAGCACAGGCTGTGTCTGGAGATTATTTTGGGCTGTATATGTTGATCTAGCTGTAAGTAAACCCAACAGAGATCTTGAACTAGGTGGAATCCATACACCGTGCGTGTTATGTTTAGATAACAAAAATAGTATTTATAATTATTTACCAACTTATAATATATAGCACTTAAAGTCATATGCTCTCAATGGAAATAGTTTATGATTACATGGTCAAGGATTTTACAGATACTGGTTTCAAGTACTTGCCATGAATTGTTCAAACTGAATGGCCGCATCCTGAGGATCCAGCCCTTGTGCATGGGCCATGTCAGCTGCAAGCCTCGCCATTTCTACTTTATGATAACCTGGGGGTGTCCAACCAATGCCACGAATCCAGTTCAAATCAGATTTGTACGCAACCTACAAAAAAGTACAATGGATGTGCAGATATTGAAATCTTTTTCCAATAACATACGGGAGACCTAAGACAACATAATCATTACAACCAAACAGATGAATCCAAAATGATACAGATTCAGAACCCACCCCTGACCAAATCAGCAGGAAAGCATTTTCCATATATGTATGGCATTCTTCTGAACATTATTTAAATGAAAGATGAGTCTATTCATTTTGAATGGCTTACTGACTGCAATGAAATAAACAACAGAGAAACATTTTCAGTAACATGATGTTTTTAGTATATACTCAGTGTAACACCAGTAGTGAGGAGATAAACAGGCCGGTGGTATGATATTGTTTTACTTATCCTATTGTGAAAATAGTGGAATGTTTTAGTAAAATGTGTTAAATTAACTATCCTAAATCAGAAATGCAAGACTAATTTCTACAAATTTTCTTGAAACTGGAGCCATACTTCATCCCTTGTGTGTATATTAACTTGCCTGTCCTTGATAAAGTTCACACTGTCCATTTAAACAAAGTCCTGTTTAATCAAGATCAAAATGGTGCTTTCATACTTACATCACTTTGGAGTTTGTAAGCCGCTTTGGCATGCTTCACATTTAATTGCTCAGGGTCACATGTCCAATGATGTAAATGCTGCCTGTAGTTAATGTTACTGGCTTGCTCCTGACTCCTTTTAGCTTGTATAAAACCAGGTTGCTGCAAGTGCAACTTGTACTTAGATTTATCCTCTTCAAATTGTTTCTTATATTCTTTGGTGCTCTGGAGTCTGCTGGCAGCCAAGAAGTGCTTCAATTTTGTATCGTCATTGACACTACGGAAGCCAATGTGCTGACCCTTCTCTCTCACAAATGCTTGCTTGTATTTGTACTAGGAGAATAGAAAATCTTTTTAATTTACAAACAACTTACATTATTCAAGTCATGTGTATAATTCGCAACATCAACGTACGGTTTATCTCCATTCAACAAATCAAAAAAGGGAGTTTTCATTAACATCTATTTATATACCTTGTATATGGAAGTATTTGCCCTATTTATAATGTGCAAACACAAATAGCTGTTGACTTTCTTTGTGTATTACTTGATAGAAAGAAAATTCTTAAAATCTAACTCTCAGCGACATTAACACGATATATTGCACTGTAGAAGTCAAAGTAATTATTATTAATTCCACTACAATATCTACAACAAAATTCCTTACGAACAGATACTGATGAGATTGCTTGTGATCTAACTAAGAAAATCTTTTATTCTTCAATATCTTCCAAATATAAAGTAAAAATTAGGTAATTATTTACGAGGTGATGTAATTGCAGTGCTCAGTAAATGAATCCAAAATCTTTGAGAGACTTCGTATTTTGCAAGAAAATATTGGTTCTTACATCACTGGCTATTTCCCTTGATGCTTTGGCTGTCTGGAAGGGAATGGCATCCAATCTAAGGTCATAACCCAGTGCTCTTGTCTGTTCCCAAGATGTCCTGTAAGCTTTCTGTTGTAAGCAAAAAAAGAAGACCATAAATTGTAGGAGCAGAAGTCAGCCATTTAGTCTGCTCTGCTATTCAATGAGATCTTGGCAGCTCTATGAGATGGGACATCCCCTTGGAGATGGGCTGAAGCCCCACCTCATGCTAATCAAAAGTGCCATTGCCTGAAAAACTAAAGCAGCCCAAGCCAGGCAATTGGTGGCAGCCTCACCCCGAAAAATGTACACCCTGGTGCAGGAATTTCATCTTCAGATATAATCCAGCCCATAGTGACTAAACCCTGACATTCATATGGGAAAGCAACTGGAATCCAGCAGACTAACTTTAAATACCAAGAGGCAGAAGTAAAATGACAATATTCACTATGTCTTCTTCACAATCTACCTCACTGTGTCAAGCCACATCAAGTACTTGTTTAAAAACTGACTGCTGTCTAAAACAGATCGTACAGGAAATTTGATAGCAGTATGCATATCATAGAGAAGCTTTCTGTTGAAGCAGCAGGAAGCTTGTGTCACACTGCCGCTCTGTAATATCAACACTGTGTTAGCTGAACGAACACCAATTCTTCAGTCAGGAAAGCTACTCTAACTTCTAATTCAGCTCTTCTGCATGCATGCACAGGTGTTATTGTTTTCATATCTTCATAGTCTTCCATGGGAGAATAAGGGAACTAGTGAAAGAATTCACAGACTAATGAGCAATCTGGCAGGACAAAGCAAGAATGTTTCTTCCATGCCCACAATCATTGGCCAATAGGGTTGGATGGTGTGGGTGGTTCCCAAGCTCTTTCAGTGACAACAATGTGCCAGCTAGCCTCCTCCTATTCCATAATGACTTTATGACACTATGGACAGAGTCGCATATCCCACACTGCCCACACCCTACAACTGAAAATTCAGATATCGGTCCATTCACCCACCTAAAACCAAAGTGTCCCACAGGGATACTCCATCAGGAACAACGTTAAAATGTTTCCGTATGGGGCATTTTCCCTTAACCCAGCTGGGAGGAAGTCCCAGCCTGGATAGCTGAGACCCAATCTGATTGTTCAGTAGCTCTATAGTCCCTGCGGTACCAGAACTGAGTGATGGCCACTGCTGTGACTACAGCCAGAGCCTGAAGAAGTGAAGGTAATGGAGGCCAGACTGAAGTCAGTCTGGGCTATTGGCGAAATCTGGCAGGCAAACCCCAGCAAAGGGGAATGGAGGTAGTAGAATGAGGCTCTTAAATTGACATTCATTGACCACTTGAGGACCTCAATAGGCTTCAGGGCAGGTGAGCTGCCCAATGCCTTCCCTGCCCACATCATATAACAGACAGGTTGGGGTGAGTGGGACAGTAGTGGCTAGACCAGCTGCTTCATTTTGGACTCATTGCTCCTTCAAATATGGGTTATTAAGTATTAGGTTCTGAGGAAGGGTCACCAGACCCGAAACATTAACTCTGTTTTCTCCTTCACAGATGCTGCCAGACCTGCTGAGCTTTTACAGCAACTTTCTTTTTGTTCTTGATTTACAGCATCCGCAGTTCTTTCGATTTTTATTGTGTATGGGTTATTAAGTCCAGTCCTATGACTGAATGTAACCTACAATTCTAAAGGCAGAACTCTAGTCTCCACTTGTCAGCAGCTGAGTTCATACTCTGCACCTTCAGACTTAGGAGCAGAAATACTACCACAAGTTCACTCCATAAATAAGTCATAGAATCACAGAATCTCTACAACGTGGACGCAGGCCATTTGGCCCATAAGTCCACACTGATCCTCCAAAGAGCATCTAACTCTGACACTGCACCCCCCCCCCTCAACCTCCCACCTTATCCCTATAACCCTGCATTTCCCATGGCTAACCCACCTAACCTGCACACTTCTGGACACTATGAGGCAATTTAGCACGGCCAATCCACCTAACCTGCACATTTTTGGACTGTGGGAAGAAACCAGATCGACCCCACCCCACCCCCCCATGAAACCGACGCAGATACGGACAGAGTTTGCAAACTTCACACAATTGCCCAAGGCTGGATTTAAACCCAGGTCCCTGGCGCTGAGAAACAGCAGTGCTAACCACTGAGCCACCATGCTACAGGTGTTGGCACAAGGAACGTCAGCTAATCAGCAAATTGCTAATATTAACTGAACCTGCCATCCAATTATAAACTGATATACAATAATCAACAGACAATAGAAGAAAAATACTAAAATCAATCAACAAAATAACCATGATCGATCTACAGTCAATCCGACAACTTACATCACTAATGTTGTAGGCATTGATTCTTGCTCGCCTGAAATCAGGATGGTCAGGTGGTATCGTACACCTATGCATTGACTGGGTGTATCTGGCTCGGTACAACCTCTGCAAAGGAAGGCATCATCACATTAGATTTCATTTTAAACTTCTAATCTTTTATTTTACACTCTCCGAGTAAGAACTGTAGTTGCCATTAGCACATTCATGTGAGAGAAAGATGAAAGTATATGGATTTTTACTTGATTTAAAAAAATGATCAAATAGGTACTAAATAAATTCTCCTTCTAAGATTTTAGGGTGCATACTGTAAAATTACAGCAGCTTTTGTTGATTGAGTGTTAAGATACCAGTAACTGAAAATTGAAACGTCCCATTGCTTATACCTTACCAGCAGTTAGTTAGCAGAATAAATGCATTGACTGCACTTTAAAAAGGGAGAACCAAGTTGTAATATAAATGTTGCTCGATAGTTCCAAATATTCACTCGCAGGCAAGTGATAAATATTTGGAACTATTTAGCCTTAAATGTACATTTGTGGAATAAACTATTGTCAACTCTAAACTTTCCATTCAGGATATTTCTGTAGCTCTCAAAATATACATATTTTATATTACTTTGATAAATAAACCTGGAAAACGTAGAAAAACATTGTAGAAGAAATACAATTTGGCAGTTGTTTTGCTAAATGTAACTGCAAGGATTGTCTAAGAAGCTCGTCAAGCTCCGTATACAGCAGAACCAATACTCAGCCCAGCAACCATTAGAACTGGTCAAAGCTTAAAAATATAATTATCAAACAATTGATAGCTACAGGAGTCAAGGTGCAAGTTTTTGAGGATACTTTTAATTAGCTTTCAGATGCCGGTCCACAATCTAATTAACTAAAATTGACAGGGATAGTCCAACAGGCAATAAAGTTTCAAAACTTTCCTAATGGGCAATTAAGCAGTTGTCAACAACTAGCCTATAATCTATTGAACATATACAAATTATCCCAATGATTAGTTCCCTGTTGTAAATTACAATCATGAAATCGCAGCTGCCTCCAGTGATCAACGGTTGCCGAGGGTATTCATCCAATATTACAAGGTGCCACATATCCACAATAAGACATGTCCAATTCAATCCTAAATTAATATCCATAATACCTAAGTAGTATGAATCAATAGAACATATTATTGGGAAGTCATAGACTAGGTGTATACCAATGGGGCTAAGTTCCATGGGTACCAAGTGGAGGAGTACCTGCAATTCACCCTCAAGATAAGATCAACTTCAGACCTATTGCCCACTGATTACTTCAGACTCATTGCTCTCCCACACGATGCTACACAGTTTGGTTCAGACTTTTACCATGGAAGACAGAAGATGTTGTTTTGTTTGTTAGCTTTTACTTTATCATATAACTGTGAAATAACTCCAGAGGCTGGTATCCCATCACCAAGTCACCCTTTATTTACACGTGGAGAGTCCTTGACACTGAGCCAGCCCTCAGAGTGAGCAGAACCTCTGACACTCCTGTTTATACCTGTCAGCCTGGGCTCCTTGATTGGACCAGGTTAATAGCTCCAGTTAGGAAACTAATATTCTATGATGTCCACCTGGCTGACCTCATTACAATCACTACAAACTGATTGGGGACAGGGACATTGAAGAAATACTAATTACTGAAGTTACTGTCAGCACACAATCTGACAATGCATGCTTTCTGTGTCTTAGTCCTGCTTCCTCACTCCGATAGATTATCAATGAACACGGAAAAACTATCATAGATTTCCACCCGTTTTCAATACTACAGTCAAATGAAAAGGAGATGGATAGTATGTCCTCCAAACTAATTGGTACACTTCCATCAAACAACATTTGCTTATTTTGATGCAGAAATATTGTTTTGATCCAAAGATGGGATTTAGATATAGACTAATACATAATTGCCACATGAAAGGATACTTCAAAGCTCTGCCTTAACATACATCGCTACATTGCAGGTAGCTGTTCTTAGCATGGATGATATCTGCAGAGTCAATCACACTTGTATACTTCAAGGTATCAGGATGCTGTCTGTATTTTTTCTACAGAACAAAGAAATTGAGAATGTAATTAAATATCCAAAAAAAAATAGAAAGTTATACATGCGTAAGACAGACTCTCTTCCCCATCTGTGTTAGAAAAGGAACTTCCAGTCAAGAATGTTTACAATATTGTGTCTTCAAAATATTTGTTGTAAATCCATTCAGAAAATTACTGCCCAGTAATCAAATAAGTGGTCTCAGTTAGCAATGTCAACAAACTATAAAGGTTTCATTGCAATGTATTTAAGTTTGACAGTATCTTGCTACAACATACAAAATACATATTGGTCAACATTTATTCCAAGAAAGCGAATGGAATGCTGGCTTTTATATCTGGAGGACTGAAGTACAAGGATGCAGAAGTTATGCTGCAGATATAAAAAAAAACCCTGGTTAGACCAACTTGGAGCACTGTGAGCAGATCTAGGCACCATGCCTTGGGAAGAATATATTGGTCTTGGAGGAAGTAAAACATAGGTTTACAAGAATGACACATGGACTTCCAGGGTTAAATTAAGAGGAGAGATTATACAATTTAGGGTCATTTTCTCTGGGATTTAGGAGGTGAAGGGGTGATCTGATTGAAGTCTTCACGACACAAGAGACAAGATATAGTAGATAAAGATTAGCTATTTCCACTGGTTAGGAATTCTGGAACTAGGAGGCATAGTCGAAAAATTTGGGTCAGACCTTTCAGAAGAGATGTTAGGAAGGACTTGAACACACAAAAGGCGGTAAATGTTTGGTATTCTCTTCCACAAATGTCCGTGTATGCTAGAATCAGTTAAAATAGATAAATTTTTGTTGAACACAGGTAGTAAGGGATATGGGCCAAAGGTGGGTGTGTAGTGTTAGGCCACAGATCAGCTATGGTCTCACTGAATAGCTCGAGGGGCTGAATGGGCTACTCATGTTCCTATGATTTGTTGCATGCTTAATACAAAATCAGATGAGGTTTTCCACTTTGGCAGAAATCTGGCATTACCTTGGAGACTGCATCTCTGGACAATAATTTGAGGGAGGGGGGGTTAACTTAAATTTTCTGGAAAATCCCAGAATGACAGTAATCAAGGCAGGAGAGGTTGGTAAGGAGCTCACAGAACTGTTCTTTGACAAGCCTGCTGCTCCTCCTGTTTGAAATCAGGCTGAAAGCTAACAGAATCTCATCATTATTGTCTTAGAAACAAAAACAATCAATCATTTTGAAAAAAGACTCTAAAGGCACCTGACCAATTAAAGATGTTACCTCACTGATTAGTTCACCAGCTTTCTTCATTGTCTCAATCTGTGGGGAGCCCTGTGCCATCCACGCAACACCTTTGAGGAAGTTTAGATCAGACCTGTATTGCACCTGTATGAAAACAAGATACAAAGACATCCAGTGACAGGAAATTGGCAGCTAGATTTGCACCCTTAGCCAAGTTTCTTTTCCATGGCTGTTGACCAGTTCTTTGCCCACTTATCGCCCTCTCCTCCCCCAACTGAAGCTTGATATACATCAATTTAATGGTAAAACTGTTATGCTCCTTTACCTCACTCTGTTGATTATAGGCTTTTTTAGCCAATTCCATCTTCATGTCATACGGCAGAACAGTATATGAATGAATCAACTTTTTGTAACCCAAGTCACTGGCCAAAGCCTGGGCATTCTTAGCATGCACCAGATTCACCATATCCATTGTTAAGTGGAATTGCTTCCTGCTGTCTTGCGATTCTTTCTTGTACAACTTTTCACTCTGTAACTTGCCAATTTGCATGCAATGCAACATCTTAGGGTCATCCAAAATGCTTCGAGCACCAATATGTTTTCCTCTCTCTTTTACAAAAGTATTCTTGTATTGATACTGAAAGAAAAATGGATATCATTATTTAAAGACTTGCAACTTCTCTCTTTCTTGTTTGGAAGGTAAGGTGACATATTGAGACATTTTTAATCAGGTAGTTACCTTGCCTTTAACCTAACTTTTAAAACAAGAAGTTGATATCTGTAATGTAGGCATTTGCTTTATTTACAGCTATAAGCTGCCAGAGGATGATGAATTTACTTGAGGTCTTGAGACTTAATGGCAACTACCACTGTCTCTAAGCCTGAAGTTCTGGGTTCAGGACCCACTCCAAGGCTTGTTGGCCAGGGAGGGAGCATTCACAACACAGCCAAGCAGGTAGATGGTCAAACATATAACTTTTCCAATACACCCATAACAGGTATAAGGATAGGAGGAACTCCTGGTCAGTTCTTATTGACCACACAGCTTGTCAGTGTGACAGGATGTGGCAGAAACCCCTCATAAGATAAGAATTCAAATGACCTGATAATTTAAATCTATTAAGCATTAGATCCCTCCTTTGCTGGATTAGCAATATCGTTTAATTCATGTTATCAGATGGTTATATGCTTTTGAACAAAATATGATTAAATTTGCATATGCAGGCTATAATGTGAATTCACCACCTTATAACTGGAGTTACTAGGCAAGGAAGGTCACATTATCGATATTGAAACATTTCCCAGAAAAACATTGTTGGTTGAATCTTTATTTTTTTTGGCAAAGTGAACATTGTGTCAAGTTTTTTTGGAGTGTTTTTCGCCATAAGGCTTAGTGACTTTTCTCGCCTCGTTAACTTGGACCAGTCCTGAAGAAGGGTAATACCCGAAACGGTGACTTCTCCTTTCCTCCAGATGCTGCCTGGCTTGCTGTGTTCTTCCAGTTTCCTGTTTGTCTATATTGCCTCATTAACTACCTACCCCATACCTATTGCATCCATCTTGTCCAATTCTATCCCCTTCTTACCATGCACTATTCCTGAAACAACTTGCCACTGCCAGGATATCCCAGAATTGACTGGCATCTCTGTGTCCATCTTTAAAAGGCTATTGAGCAATCAGACAAGCACTGTTAGTCCAGTGTTGCCCTGCACAGTTCCTGACATTCGCCCCAAAGATGGCAGGCAAGGGAAACTTTGTGTCTAGCTTTGCAGGAAGGGACCTAGAGGTCCTGCTGGTTGGCATGGTTCATGCTGGATGTCCTCTTGCCCCAGGACTAACACAGGCCATGACATCAGACCAGCTGACCCGAGGTTGCCAGCTGGGTCAGACCAGTCTCAGCTATCTGCAAGAATGCAGAGCACCATATGAAGTAGGTCAATGGTCTTCTCCACTCTGCCAGTGCAAGTCCTACCATCTTCTCTCCTTGTACTATTGTACCGACCTCCCAAGGCTCATGGTCTAACTCTCTCACTATTGTGTGGAGGTTCCCTCACTGTCACCAACCCAAATCCCTGACACCATTAACCTCAACTACCCTCTGTGCTGTCTGTTCACACACTCAGGACATCTCCCCACCTTCACCAAAAATAACAGCTGAGCCACCAAATTTCATATCCCTTAATAGCTGCTTCTCTCTCATTCCAGGAGGAAAACAGCCCACAAAGGACTGAAAAACTCAAAACAGGGGATGTGCTGTCCTTCTTTCAGCTGCTTATCCCTTGTGTGAAGAGGATCCTGACTTTGACCACCCTGACCATCTCCAAGCCCCTCAATTGATATCAGAGGTTGCACTTGACTTACTGTGCCTTGGCCCCTCACCTAACTCTTGACTTGACAGATGACCGCTGACAACCACAACAAGCTTCCTGGCTTTCTGTTGGTGCCAAACAGAACAGCAATACAGCAACACTGTGAGCCTGTTGTCACTAGCTGAAGGGATAAAAATGCAAAAGGCCAACGCAGGACAGGGATTCTGTGAGCATTTTGGTAGGTTCAGAATGAGTGAGTGCTATAACAAGGAGCTTGAAATGCAGCCTGGTCCAGTCCATGAGCTGGCTATATGTCCCTGAGCACACAGTGTCCTTGCTGCAGCATTACTGTGAGTTACCACTGCAGCCTGAGATACAGTACTGAAGTCACGAGCATCCTTGAAATGGGTCACAGAAGTGCCATGAGAGTTCGGAGAAGCTGGCACAGGTCAGATGCCACTGTTCATGGACATGCGGTTGGAGTAGATGGTGCCCATGGAGCAGTACCTGAGATGTTAGTGCCCAATGTCCAACATGGAGGTCCATTGGACCAAGCAGTCAGCTTAATCAGCAAAAACCTGGCATGACTAGGTCACCTCAATGACAACACTGTGTATGTCATCGAGTCTGTTTCAAAACAGTAAAGTATCAGTTCTGAATTTACCACTGTGTTCAGATGATATTTTAATCTCTAGTTAGCTTAAATTGCCTCACTGGTCATATCCACCACTTTGATGAACAAAGTATCAGCCGTAATGTGCATATTTCCTTTAACACGTGGCAAATTTGGTGCATGCAGCAAATATGCAGTATGAATATTGGTGAGGCTATCAATGATTACCATGATAAAAAACAGTAATTTAAACATCCACTGGCATCTGCACTCACAAAATAAATGCAGAAATCACAAAGTTGTTGCCCTGCTCCTCCAGAAACTTCACTTTAACACTACCTTGGTGAAAGACACACTAAAACAGAAGGAAGCGCATGACACTTCTGTGCTTATGTGACAAAAACCCAGTAAACCTTCCAGAAGATTTAGGTTTTCTAACAAAATACAAATGAAATTCCAATGATGCGATGATTATTAATTACCGCCAAACAACTATCTGGCACAAAAATGAACTATTACAATTGAAGAGTGTCACTACTCCAAATCTTACCTTTTTGTTGGAGATTTTGGAAAACAAAATAAATAAATAACTGTTTCAAATGCTTTATTTCTGCCTCTTGCATTTTCCCTCTCATACTTAACCTATCTTTGTTCTGACCAGTTCACCTTCTGCACATGATTGGGCAGAATTTTTAATTATCTTAATTAAATTAAATAGTTTTAATTAAATTAAATGATTTTAATTAAATTAAATACTCAATTTTAAACTTCCTGGTTCAAAGTCTACACATCTCATTAATAATTCTTCAAATTAATTGGTTATGGAGATACACATTTGATACATGTTTGGTCTGGCCTCACAAATCCAAAATACTGGAAAGACAGCACTGTAATATCCAAAACAGATTTCTAACAAAGTAAAGTTTGAGTAGAAATCTCATAAAAAGTCTGTGGGCAGCGTTCCTTTGCCAATGATCACAAATGCTGGAACCATACTGCTAATATTTTACACCACTACTCCAAATCAAAAATTAATACAATATTCAAATCATTACAGGAACATTACACAATGATGTAAACTGATTGTTAGACTTGATAAATTGTCCACTGTCATTTAAAGTCAACAATTGCAAAAGTTGAACTTTTATCTTACATCATTTTCTTTCTTTAAGATGTTACCTGTTTGGCTGTTTAATTATTTTACCTCAGATATATGGGGGCACAACTGGGGGAAGGGCACCAACTATTGGTAATCCCATCTCTTGTCTGAAAAAAGTGCTAGTTATTGAAAATCTGATAGGGACCTTTCCCCGCGGCATCAACTCTTCGCCCTTTATATGAGTGTCTTGGCCAAAACAAACAAGTGACTAATCAAAGTATGATGGTACTTCAGTTGTGCAATCCAAATTGCAAGTATCTAGAAGAAAATGGGATGGTGGGGGGGGGGGGGGGGGTAAGATAATGTATGAATAGCACAAGCTAATCACTCTCCTTGTCAGATGTTGAAAGGCCCATTAAAGACCTCTCCCAAATGATCATTTCAGAGAGAGTTTCTTGTGAGACTCAAGAAGAGAAAGAATCATTGAGAATCCCACATAGACCTTTGAGTCCTTTTCATTTCGTTTGTTACCATCACATTTACCGAAGAACAGTGAAAAGTGTTGTCTTATGTGCTGTACAGTACCATATAAGTGCATCAGTGTAACTAAACAGAGTGCAGGATACAATGTTAGAGCTGCCAAGATGGTGCAGACTTTCATGTACTCCGAAACAGCTCTTACCAGCTTATCTGCCTGCATACAGTAGCCAGTTGATTTATGTTCCAATGTAGCAAGCTGTGGTAACGACCCTGTTTGGCAGCTTATCAAAATTAAAATGTTAGGCCTGACCCTGCACCAGACTGTTGGCATCACACCCACACAGTACCCAAACTGTAAGTCTCCCCCAGCTTTCTTGAAAGTAACTGGCCACAAATACAAGTAGCATGAATACTTTACAATTCAAATCAGATTCCCTCTTACATCACTGGCTATTCGCCTGGAAGCTTTTGCACTCTGGAAGGGAATGGCTTCGAGTGTCAGCTTGTATCCAAGAGCTTGTTGGTTGAGCCATGACTGTTTGTACTTCACCTGCACAGAAAAGTGCAGAACAAAACTTCAACAAATAAAGAAAATTAGAATTTAAAGAGAATCAGTCCAATTCTGAAGAGACAAACATTACCTCACTGAAATTTGATGAATTAATCCTTGCCCGAATATGTTCGGGTGAGCCAACAATTGGAGTATAATGATGTTGGGCATTTTCTCCTGCAGCTTTATATAGGCGCTGAAAAACGAAAAATGAAAATATTTGCCTGTACATCATGTTAATCCTTTATCTAGTAACATTCAGTAACATGAATACTTTAGAATTCAATAACAAGCATTTAGCAAACAACTCTTCGGAATAAATGCAACCATTTCCACTCTAAGGGGATTCAACAGTTAATGACAATTAGCGGGAAAGACAGCCGTTTGGGATTTAGAAGAGTTTATGCAACTGTATTCAATCAAGGCAACAATTTCAGAAAGCAACCATTAAAATTTTGCCCTTACTTTGTATATCAAGTACTTTGTAGATGAATACGCAAACAACTGCTGAGAAACGTAATTCACTTCATTAACAAATTAATGATTGTTATATGATATAACTAGCAGTTGGATCTCCAAATTCCATAAACTACTTGATACATCTTTTGGTTCTGTGAGGTGACATTATATGAAAACCTCCCTTCTCAGAGTGGCATATGAATGAAAGCTGATGTCTTCCTGCCAGGCTCATGCTAACAATAAGGGAACGGCTTTCTCTTAGCACTTATCTTTTGCATTTTATCTATTGATATACTTTCCTTTTATATTGTGTGTTGAATGGCTTTTCTGACTTCAGATACTCTCAGAAACTACTGCCATTTTCCCTTTCAATAACTCACTTACAGTATTGCTCCTGACTTACAATCTGACCTTCATTCCCATGAGCTTGCCAAAACATGCAACCCTCCATCAACATGCCCTAAATGTGCCACATGTTGCTATTCCTTCACAAATAGATTCTTAAGTTCATCTCTGCCCTGGTTGCAGGCCTCCTACCCTTGGTCTCTAATCTATTTTTCTCCCAAATACTTTGTCTAAACTCAGTCCAATGCTTTACATCCATCCTCCATAAATTGCTGAAGTTGAGAGTTGATAAATATTCAGGTCCAGACGGACTTTATTTAAGGACCTTTAAAGAAACGGCTTGAGAGATGCTTGATGTATTGGTTCTCGTTTTCCAGAAATCCCTTGATTTGGGGACAGTACCATTAGAGTAGAGGACAGCAAATGTACCCTCTTTATTCAAAAAGGAGGTGAGAAAGAGAATTGGAAATTACAGGCCAATAATCATAACATCTATCATAGGGCAACGTTAGAGGTTGTAATTGAATAAGTTATAGTAGGGCACTTGGATAAGTACTTAGATTTCCAAGAGACATTTGATAAAGATGCCACATCAAAAATAATTGGGCAAAATAAAAGCTCACCATGTAGTATATAGGTACGGAAGGATGATTGGCAAGCTAATAGGAAGCAGAAAGTAGGTGTAAGTGGGTCATTTTCATGTTTGCAAAATGTAATGAGTGCTTGAGATTGTACTAGGACCTCAACTAATTACAATTTATGTAATTATATTATAAGAACGACAGAATCCCCATAGTGTGGAAACAGGCCATTCAGCCCAACAAGTCCACACCGATCCTCCGAAGAGCATCCCACCCAGATGCATCCCCCTACCCTTTCCCTATAACTCTGCATTTCCCATGGCTAATGCACCTAATCTACACCTCCCTGAACACTGAGAAATTTAGCATGGCCAATCCAACTAGGCTGCACATCTTTGGACTGTAGAAGGAAACTGGAGCACCGTGTGGGAACCCACTCTGACACGGGGAGAATGTCTGTGTGGAGTTTGCACAGTCGCCCAAGGGTGGAATGAAACCTGGGTCCCTGGTGCTGTGAGGCAACAGTGCTAACCACTGAGCCACCGTGCCGCAGATGATTATGGTGAAGAGATGGATGATCTGGTTGCCAAACATTCTGATGACACAAAGGTAGATAAAATGTAAGTTGTGAATAGGACAGAAGGCAGTTACAAAACCAAAAAAGTTAGGTTAAGTGAGAAGGCAAAGATGTGGCAAATGGAGTAAAATGCGGAAGCATTTAAATTTTCCATTTTGGCAGAAACACTAGAAAAAGTGCATGTCATTTTAACAGTGAATGATTCGAGAGCTCTGAAATGCAGAGGGATCTGGCTGTCTTTGTGCATGAATCACAAAAGCTCAGTATTTAGATACACAGAGTAATTAGGAAAGCTAATAGAAAGTTATCATTTATCACAAGCAGATTTGAAAACAAAAATATGCTTCACTAATGAGACAATGTCTGGAGGTATTGTAGTACTCGTAAGACTGCATGTAGGATAGTATGCACAATATTGACCACTTTATATATGGAAAGATCTAAGCGCATTGATCCTGTAAGGTGAAGACCTACATCCTATATCTTTTATCTTAATGATGCAATTTATTGCATTATGACTATTAGATACAAGCTACACGTTTAGGACAAAAGCCTTCTCTTATTAAAGAGACTCCATTACCACTGGCCTTTAGATCCAGTGAAGGAAAGAGGATGATGACAATGAACTATCCTAACCACAAGCTGGTATTGGTTGGCATTCCTTCCCATTCATCAGGAAAGATAAATAGAAGCACAAACAGAATAAAAGGACAGTACAGCAGAGAAAAAAAAAACCCTTGGCAACCCACAAGAATTACAGTGAAAGATGAACTGATCAGCAATCAAAGAAACAGCAGGGTTCAGACTGAATGGCTTTAAGGCACAGAAAAAATTCTCAGAGGGCACTGAAAATAGGAGTCATATACAGAAATTTGGGCACAGATAGAAAACATCAGTAAGGTAGGGATAGAAACCTCTTAGGGTACAGACATCAGGGCACAAACTAATCTTGCAGAAAAACAAAGAAAGATCAAGCCACCATCAGGAAGATATAAAGAGACATAGAGACAGAGAATATTGCAAATGTTGGAGATTGGAAATAAAAAGAGAAAGTGCTGAAGAAACTCAGCAAGTCGCACAGCAACTGTGGAGACAGAAACAAAGTTATTGTCTTGAGTACAATAGAGGCGGAGTCATATTAGGACTTGAAAAATAAACTCTGTTTCTCTCCACAGATGCTACGAAACTTGCTAAGATCCTCCAGCACTTTGTCAAATAAATGGTATTTCTTATTAAGGGTCCTGCACTTAGTGCACACTCCCTGTCCAACCACTTCACTTCTTGTAGCAGATTGTCTGTTCTTTTTTCTTTCCACAGACTCTTTTAGACTTCCTTTTCAACCAATAATTACAGAGGTCAGTAATTCTCAAGATTTCTAGATTCTGACTATGCCAATTGCTCCAGGATCTTCTCTTCAATGCAGCCAAATCACAGCACCACCCCTAACACTAGGCCCCACATCTCGATCCTAGTCCTACCTGAGTCTTCTCAAACACCTAGACCATACTCTTAATACACCCCTAATCCACCTGATCCCAGAACCAACTTCAGTGTTCATAGAACTCTCACTGCAATGTTCTCAGATTCCCAAGACTCATTGTGTCACATTTTAAAGACCACTTTATTTAAAATTCTGTGAGGCAATGAGTTCTTTTATAGCTCCACCAATCTCAGATCTCTGTTCCTGTTTCCCCATGTCATTGGGCCAATCTTAACATTGATACACTGCTAAGCCTGTGATTCAGGAAATATTAATTGCTAGAACACCTCAATTTGAAGATAAAGAAAGTTTGACTCATTCAGCCATAATGGCAATAATAAAGATTATTTTTAAAACACAGCAACCAGGTTTGACCAGCTGTTGCCATCCATTTCTGGTTTGGAAAGCAGTGGTGTTTTGAGAGGAAATGCCACAGGAGTCTCTGTGATTCTCTCGGTCTGAGCTTTCCACAGGGAAATTCCATCAAGTTCCAGAAATCAACATACCTCATTGGCAATGATGTTGCTCAATTTTGCACGGGTCAAGTCAGGTGAATCTGTCACCTGTGTAAACCTTAGTGAATATGGATGTTGTCGATATTTCTTCTGAAAAAAAAAGAACAAAAAGCAATCATTTATTGCATTTCAACCATTCCCTAATTCCACTCTCTGCCACTGTATCAACACATTGCTGCAGTCCAACTGCACACTTATTACAAGACCATCTGTTCAAAATCACAATTATTAATTAAAATTGACAACACAGATAGGTTAAATATTAGGATACAAAAACCTGGTCAGGACCCAGATATGCAGCTCCGGGGTTATGCTGGAAACTTTTGTTGGGAGTAAGGTGCAATATATAAAATGCCAATGATGCTCAGGAGTGGAACCAGGTTGAGACAAGGGCTGAGGCGATGGATTATCAAGGACAACAGATTCCCTGTCATTCAGAATTTTAGTATAAGATTCGGGGCTAGCATCCCCAGTGAGAGTGACGTACCAGCTTCCAGAAGGGCTTTAAGGATTAGTTGTTTTTAATGTTTGCATTACATCCCTTACACATGATACTTAATAGTTGGACCTATATTGGAGTTGACATCTGTCACCCTCCCCAACCACCACCAAAAAGTTGATCAGATGCCAATGCTTCCACATGCATCAGGAAGACAGACAGAGAGCAGCCTGAAATGTTATTGGTGACTGCTAACCGATACATATTTAACAGCTCATCTACAGACCTGAATAAATCTAGATGGGTCAATCTAGAAGGGCAATGGCGCACATTATGCATGTGATTCCAGTCCCAGATACAACTAAGAAATCGTTGAGGATATTATTTCATGAGAAACTCATTAACCAAAACCTTTTGGGAATGCTTGAATGAATTTTTCTTTCAAGGTGCAAATTGTTTGACTTTTCTTTAAAAACGTCACTCTTGTTTCAACCTATTCTCCTTGGGAGAACACATTTGAAAAATCATAACACGATACTCAATTCCTCCCAAACATATTTGTTTTAACTCCACGTGAGAGTGAATTACTGAATGTGGTGACATGGCAAAAATTACAGGGAGAGTACATGTCATGTACTGCAAACAAAACTGGCCCCATAAAAAAATGGCCCACCTCACTGATGAGGGCAGTTGCTCTCTTCACTCCTTCAATTCCCAAAGCCCCTGTTGAAATCCAAGCCACTCCTCTCATGAAATTTAGGTCAGATCTATAAAGGTTCTATTAAAATAAGGCAGACTATTAATAAAGATCATTATCACTGTGTACTTAATGATACATTCAATAAATTATAGGATGACCAGTAAATCAAGATTCAGTAGCTTCTCAGCAGTTATACATTTTGAAAAAGAATATTGTTTAACCAAACCTTTACATTGTTGCTACCCTCCTGAGAGCATTGAATGTACAGGGGGATAATTCTGCGATTCAGTGACCTTATCTTCTGGAATCAGAATATTACAGGCTCTGCCCCTACAACTTCCAGCAAGCCTCTGTTCTCTGGAACAACCGAACACTAAATTGCTTTATATTCATAGGCGGAAATAATCTTAAGGAGTTCATGAATTTACCTACTTCCAGGTCTTCTATTTGTTTCGTGCTTTTCTAAGATGTGTTACAAATTTCTATGAACAATAGTCAGACATTGTTCTGTTTATTTGCTAAGGCTTTAATAAAATGGTGAACAGAGTTGAAAACTTTACAAGATAAAAGACGAAGTTCTTCAGTTTTAGCATGCTGGCGTATAGATTCAAAAGGCCTGCGATTAAAATTCCCACTATGGCTTTGTCTGTTGATCCCACCTGAATCAGTAACTACAGCTCTACAGAGGGAGGGACAAAAATCATCGAGCTTTACAGTTCTCAGTCACCAACCATTGGTTGCCAGAGAAACTACCTATGTATGCAGGTAAAGTTAGCAAAGAACTGGTCTCAACTTCCACTTGATAAAAAGGCTTACATGAGAAAGAAATAATCTGGGTAATACATCAGAGGACAGGCTACACCCATGAACCTACACCACAGATCGATGCAGTGCTTCAGGAGAGAAGCATGAAAATGGGAGAAATGTCAATAAAAGAAAAAGTGAAAAGTGTGACTGTAAAGTTACCTCGCTCTGTAGATCATAGGCATGCTTTGCCCACTGCATTCTCAAGTCATTGGGTAGTGTCGTATAATGATGGATGGCATGTCTGTAGTTCTGGTCACTGGCTAAAGCTTGGGCTTTCTTAGCATGGACAAGGTTCACCATATCCATAGGTAGATGGAGGTTAGTCTTTGTGTCCTCAAAATCTTTTCTGTACATCAACTAGTTTAAAAGCAGCAAGCAAAAATGATAACTCACAAACAATTTTCATGAAAGGCATATTTTTTAACCAAAATAATAATGCAAAACATTTTTTGTTCTCAATACATTAATAATTCTACAACAATGATATTTCATTTTCATAGAGGTTATAAGACATTTAATTCCCAGGCACTGTGTAAAGGGAAAGGGGAAGGAGACCCATGAGGTTTGGTCTTCATCTCCATTATGTTATTCCAAGAATACTGGGCTTTCCCCAAAGAGACAGATCAGGAGCTGGGCCTGTACTAGGGACAATAGGTAAAGTCTTCACAAGAATACAGGCAGGACTGGCAGTATCCAAGATTTCCACCTTATTCTTCTCTTCCTCCAAATGATTCATGCCCAGACATCGAAGAGGTTAATGATGAACTTTGAAATTGTAACTCCCTTAGATCTGGGATAGAGAAGAATGCCAGGGTGGAAATATTCAATGACCTAAACATAAACATCTTGCATGGCATTATTGCCAATGATATTGTGTTGAATAGAAACATTTAAAATGCATCATGCTTCGTATGCAGCTGGTTTCAGAAAATTAAAGTGATGAACGACTGAGTGCTGCTTGGTATAAGATTATAGGCACATGGTTAACTCCATGACTTCTTTCAATATCAGACAACTTTAGATCAAAAGCAGAAGTACCATCTGAATTATGAAATGGGATCCTGCCATAACTTGTACTCTTGTCTTATTTTGCACAATATTGATGTCATGACATCGTATAGCCTCCCCACACAGCTTCCAGCATTGGCTATATGATAGACAACACTACACGTTTGATTGAAAATACATGAATTCAAAACAATTTAAAGTTCTTTTCCTACATACATCACTATTGAGCCTGGCTGCATGAACGGAATGAGAAATGTTCAGGTCATCTTCCAGTTTTTGTATTCCAACCATCTGACCTTTGGCCTTCTCGAATGCTTCTTTGTATTTGTACTGTGATAGAAACCACATGTTAGGAGGCAAAGATCAAGGAAATATTACAATTTTGTTGCACAGAGCTAGTAAAATAGTTCATTTTACTAAAAGGACATGCTTCAGTGCTCCCAGGAGACAATTGTACATAACATGTTTATCTGAAATTTCTGTTGCCATTATTTTAGCAGGGGCATTAGTAGGATTTTACTAAAATAAGTAACCTAACATTGTGGAAAAATAATTGTAAGAGGGATTTCAAATAGTACATGAAACATTTCAAAATTAACAACATACAACTGAACCATTGTTTTAAAAGGTTGAACAATTCAGGATGAATTGTCCTGACTTGGAAAATGTTCAGGTCTCAGGACTATTTTTGGATCCTGCCCTCACTTGCAGCAGTGGCAAGTCTACCAAATGCCATCTAATGTGAGCTGGCCAATTGCAAAGCCACCTCCATTTGCCTTCCAATTAGAGACAGTTGTGGGTTCTGGAGGTGGATACAGCCCATTGCTATGGGGTTAGTAGCCTTTAGAGTGTTACCAGCAGAAGTGTTGCTGAGGGGCAAGCAATAAGAATAACAGGGACAATTAAGGTACCATGGTTATCAGACGATAGCCTGGCACTTACATTTTACACAAAGGCATTCTCTGCTAAACACTAGTAGCTTGATGGCTAACTGAAGTATTTGAGAAACTCCACTCTCAGATTAACCAAAGTTCAATGTAAAAATGACAAATTTAAATCTCTAAAGATGACCAAAATGTGATGTCATGCTGTACATATAGTTCACAACTTTTCTTTCTGTATGTTCACCTACACAGCAGTGCACCGACTCTCAACGTTTTCTTTAGCAGCTCATCCTGAACCTATAGGCAAGGGTTATAACTGCTTGGGAACACCATCACCTCCACGTTTCCTGCCATGTCACACAATCCCTACTTGAACATATATCAACACCATTCCTTCAGTGATCACTACCTTGCAAATATCTACCTTACAGCTGTTTAGGAGAATTTCAAAACATGGATTGTAGTGGCTCACAAAGATTGCCTGTCACCTTCTGAATGACATCCAGGAATGGGCAAAAAATGTTGGCCTTGGCAATGGTGCCCACATCCCAACAGCAGAAAAATAAGTAGCGTGATAAATGCAAATTTTAAAAGAAATGCAAATCTAAAAGCAAATACTCAAGGTTGGTATAGTTTTCAAAATATATCAAGGTAATATACAGATCAGGTGAGTACTCTGACCTCTAATTTTGCCTTGATTTGACCAGATAATAACTTTAATTAATAGTAATCATTCTCTGCATAATTCTGTGGCTCTTTACAATGTTACTGTAGAAGATAGAGTTAATATTATAGCATTTCTGAGGGACGGATACTGAAATATTTAAAAATGAAATCAGCTCTGTTAAGTTGGAAAGTTCTGTGACTTCCAAAAATCTTAGAGGAGTTTGAAGTCCCCATGGAGATACTGTCAAACATGTCAGAATTTTAAATTAAATTCCAATGAGGTTACAAAGTGCTGCCAAAGGCCTCAATAACTTGTTTCAAATGTTAAGTGAACTATGAAGACTGAAAGGAATTTAATGCAGGAAAGAAACATATACCAAAAGTGGCTAACTTAGGGACTGGATTTATTTTAACCAGAAGTGGACTTCATTAAAATATCAAAAGCAATCTTTCTTGGTGACTGGTAAGAAGCATGTTATTTAGCCTATGATATCTGCAATTTGACACACAATTCCATTTTGCATTCTGGTGTGTTAATCAGTCACATCAAAATAAACATGATAATTATTCACGTAATGACAGAAATGCAGTATTAGGAGGTCAGTAAAATGTTCCAAAACAAGCCGTTACCTTGACATAATCAACTCTGACAAACGAGCAAGAGAAAAATCTTTTTAACGACTTCAAAATGTAAGTTTGAAAAGACAACTGGAATTTACCTAGTATCTATGTCTAAGATTGTTCAATTCCTATAGTTCAATCAACAGCCTTTGATTAGCAATGACTCAAAATAGTACAAAAATGGTTTAATTCCACCCAATTTACACCTCAGCCAGATATGAACTTCAAACATTTCCAGAGCAGTTATTTGAAGTGATACTTACATCACTAATAATTTCTCTGGAAGCTTTGGCAGCTTGGACTGGAATTGCATCGAAAAGCAGTTTATAACCACCATCCCGTAATTTTGACCACGACTCCCTGTAGCGGATCTTTGAAACAACAAACAATTTCGGGAATAAGTGTTTGACGCAATTCCATTGCTTCATTTACAATTTTAACTTCATAGAGGCTCACAGCACAGAAGTAGCCGTTCAGCAAACTGGGAGGTTTTGTAGGTTGAGGTGGGCTCATTCATGACTGCCTGGAATACCTGCCCCCATTTGGTTGACAACCATTTATCAATTAAGCACTTTGCAAGAAGCTGATTGGGATTTTTTCCAGTCAGTCTTTGGTTCCCTGCAATGCCCAGGACCACTTTATATGTTCAGCAGTGGGCACCCAGTGGCAACTCAGGATGGGGCACAGTCTCTCAGACACCTCAAAGCCCTCCCAACCTGCCTCAGTGTGGCTGTAGCTCCAGACCATCCTGTACAAGCCCCCATCCCCCTTCCACTACAGCAGTGCCGTAGCTGTTTTATCTGTTCTTTGATTTAATTTGAAGCGTGGTGAGAATTGGACTGTTATACCAACTATTCATTCAAGGCTGCTGCTTCTCAAGCTGGAAGAGCTTTGATTGGCCTTCCAGCCCCAAGGGCTCACCCATTACTCTTAGTTGGAAAGAGGCTTGTCTCGATGCAACGTAAGGGGGTGCCACTTTCAAACTTCTAATGAATGACCGTTTCCCCTGAAGGGGGCACGTTCATGTCCTGGAAACAGATCTGTTTTCTGCTCTTATGGGGAAAATCCACCCATCTGAAAGAATTTAATGCCCTCCATGCTGTGTTTTGTGGAGGAAGGGCATTTAATCATGCAGGAAGGTGATGGGTGCAGACACTGCTGGCTACTCCTGATTAATTCCACGGTGGGAAGATCTTAGGGCAGTATTCCCAGTCCACTGCCATCAAGTGCCCACTTAAGGGTCTCACCCCGCCACGTTGTTACTCACGGGCTGGTGAGGGGGGGGGGGTCTCACCGTGTGAAAAGCCCAAAAGGAGGCAAAAGGTCCTGTCAGGGCTGCTTGAGGACATCTGGGCCTGGGACGGAGGTCCCCCATTCCAAGGTACTGGGCATCTGGTTGAGGGAAAGGGGGGCTCCTCCCCCCCAAGAGCCAAACACCCCGCATTCCATCCCCACGTCTTGCTGCTACCACCCTGTCTCCTTTATTGCAACCCTTGCCCCAAGATCCCTCTCCTACCATCACTTGTCCATGACCTGGGTTGTTTTGGTAATTGTGGGCCTTGTTTCGGTGTCTAACCAGCAGCATCTGCCACCTCTTCCCCACCACACTCACCCTCCCTCTCCCTCCACCCACCTGTGGCTCTGGTGAGAAATAGAATAGAACAGACTAGAATCTCTACAATGTTGAGGCAGGCCATTCAGCCCACTGAGTCTACACTGATCCTCCAAAGAGCATCCCACCCAGACCCACTCCCTTATCCTATCCCAGTAACCCTGCATTTCCAGTGGCTAATCCACCTAACCAGCACATCCCTGGTCACTATGGGCAATTTAACATGGCCAATGCATCTAACCCGCACATGTTTGAACTGTGGGAGGAAACTGGAGCACCTGGAGGAAACCCACGAAGACACAAGGAGACTGCGCAAACTGCACACAGAGATGCTAACATCTGACTGACAGCTCTCAGATCGTGTGGTGTCTGCAGCCCTGAACAGGGAGTAGGCCCTTTGCCACCCAGGTAAGTGCCTAACTGGCAATTAATGCAGTGGGTCTTCTCACAAAGAGGCAAGGCAGGACTTTCACTGGCTGCTTAGCTAGCCAGGCCCACATCGCCTACATGAAATATTACCATTGTGTCTATGTCAGCTCTTTATTAGGGTAAACCAAGATCTGGCAAACTTGCAACACGTAGTTTCTTGCTAATTTTCTTTCTTTTAGTTATCACTGAAAATAATTACCTGTTTCAGCTTAAAATATTTCTCACAAATACAATTTCAGATTAAGTTAAATCCAAACAAAGTAGATCCAATGAGAATGTAGTTATCCAATGAGGAGCTGCATAAAGGCAATGTATTAAATAATTTCTAACGAGCTAATCAGTAAAAACAGAGAAAACAATAATTTGCCTACAATCAAGCTATTGCTTCTCACCACACCTTGAATCTTGTGCCAAAAAAAATTTTATGTTCATTTTTTTAAGCCATTCAATATTTGTTGTCCTTTACAGTCCTGCAGCTGGGATCAAGTAGTTTTTCAGTGCACCTGCGCTTCTGCACCAGTGCAAATTGATTCACTCGAGGATGCATATGATTTTTAAAAATATATTTCTTTTCGCAAATCTTCTGCTTGTCAAGTAAGAAATGTAAGTGTTGCCAAATGGGAGATTTTCCATTTGCCATTATCTGCAGCTGGCCTACATATCCAAGATGCTGAGTGAAACTTCCTCTACTCTGCCTGAATCTCACTAAGAAAACACATCCTGCTCCAATCAATAAATATGACATTCTTTCAATCCTCAATTCAGCTCTTTAGTCATTCCTCTGAAATAGACTGCCAATTTTGTGACAACGAATCCTGATAAAACTCCTGTGAAATATCTTCGAATGTTTAATAACTTTAGAAGCTGAAACACTCCCCTAGCTCATCTCCAACCTAATACCCTCCATTTTATTTCCCTAACATTGCCTTTGCTTAATGGTTAATTAGTTCTCCTCTCAAACTTAGTCTCAGGAACTCTATACGAGACTTAAACCTGCAGCTCCCGACTTAAAGGTTGAGGTGCTACTGTTACAGCACCAAAATGTCTTCCTTTTATTTTAACTATAATATTTGAATCCACATCTCCAAAGCATTAGTTCTAATTTCTTCCATGGGACATGGGTGCCTGTGGCTCTTCCCTAAATGCCCTTAAACTGAGTGACTTGCTAAATGTATCATCAGCTGCCATGACAGGATTTAAACCTATACGTCAACAGAGATTAGTCTGGGGCCCTGGTGAAACTATCTGGTGAAATTATCGCTACGCCACAGCCTGCCCATTATATCTGCAATTAACTTGACCTCATCAAAAGTTCTGTTGCCATTACATAACTTGCACTGGTCATAATTATCCTTGTGTTTATTGAGCTAAACTGGCTACCATCCCTCAAGGCCTCAAATTCTAAATTTCCCACCGCTGTTTTCAAAAGCATGCACGTCTTTGCCTTTCCCTATCCTTGTAATCTCTTCCAGCCCCACAATCTTCCAAGAATTCCGCATTTCTCCATTTCTGGCCTCTTGCACATCACTGATTTTCCTCACAAGGGCTACAGATAAGACATGATTTGCAAATCTTACCATTAGAACAACTTGCATTGAACCATTCATTCTACTCTGATATGTTGTTATTAGTCTATATGAACTAAGCTAGTGACACAGTTATGAGGAGATCAACAAGCTGATCCTTAAATCCATTTTGAACTTTGGCCCGTTGAAGAATACTTGTTTTACAATCTCACGTTAAGTTTGAATGAATCAAATGTTTGGTGCTGTTAAAAAAGTTGCTGTAACATTAATCAGTAGCAAGTAATAGCAGTGTAAATGCTCTCAGATCAACTAGCCACCCAATGTTACATAATGACAGCTAGACTCTCTTCAGAGTCTCACCTCGCTGATATTCATAGCATTAGTTTTAGCTTGCAGAAATTCTGGGAGGTCCTTTGTCAGTGTGTAGTGATGTTTTACATTTTCTCCATCTTCTCTGTATAGCCTCTGTCAAATGAAAGAATAAGCTTTATTTTAATATGTATCTAGGGCAAAACCACCTCACATTGATGGTGGGAGGGAGCAGTATGAGATCTTGTGAGAGAAATATGCAGATAATATTATTGCTATTGTGCACATCCCACTGTCAGGTTAGTAATTAAGTAAAATATTATGCTTTTTCCTGCTTGCCAACAACTCAAGGGCAGGTTGCCACAAGCTTGGAAATTGATTATGAATAATGTTATTATATGAAAGCTTAAAACATTTCTACTAGTTTAATTTCTGCACTATTTTGGGGAAAATTTTAACCCATTTCAAATTAACAGTTTAACACCTCCAATAAATTAGCAGAATGAGGAATTCAACACGAGCACATTCAACATTTGTGCAATAACACTGTTTACAGTAAATTCCATATTTATAAACAAAGCATAATTTTAATTTTTAATTAACACTCATTGTGAATTTTGAAATACAACATGGGTCATACACTTTGCAGTTGACTGTACGCAATTTAGAAGCTGCTACCAGGGTTCCTCCCATTAAATCAGGTCAGTTAACATGAGACATGTCATTACAATAGAACAGCTTCAATAATTTATACAACCAAACAATGACACCAATACAAAAGCACGTGAGTAGTTTAGGGAATATTATTGTGTTTTTGTTTAGGGAATGTTATTGTGTAATCAACAAATCATTTCAAAAACATTTGATTTTCACAATCACAATCTACAGAATACATAGGCAATTATAATAATGATGGAAAGAGAAGCCTCCAGTCTCTATTTTCCATATGTGAAGTGACCCTGCTGCAATCACAGGAATGCATACTGGGCCAGCAACATTGGGATTCATTTGACTACTGTCCTGTCAGGAAAATAGACTTAGAGGCTAAGACATTTGGGCTGGCACAATTGACAGAAGGCCAAAGTGTCCACCAATCTTACCTGAGCCTGATTTTCCAAGGACAGGCAATCACAGGCCGATTGCCACTCCATCCCATTTTTTGTTTAAACACCGCGAAAGAGCTCCGAATTTCTGACAGGAGGTTCCGATCAGGTTCCCGCAGAAACGTGGAGCTGTACTCCCATTCAGAGAGGTACCTCATAGAGCAGAACATAGTCAGGGGCAGCAAACCATGCCTCCTTTTTCACAGCAGACAGTTTTCTGTATTCTGTGACTTAAATGTCCAGCATCACCAATTGCTACTCAGACCTCTCCAGTGAAAGGTTAAGTTCCTAAGGTAGGTGTGTGGTTAGGATGCTGCAAGGGAAATGTGCCAAGTGCATAGGAGATAGGGTGCTAGGTGGGTAGAATACCAGGTTCAAAGGGATTCAGGTCCAGTGTGGGTGGGGGGTTGGCAGTGCGAGTGTGTAAAGTCCCAACAGCAGGAGATGCATTTGATCTCTCAGTAACAATCGTCAAGTCCCATGGGGTAAAGGGAGGTGTCAGATGCCAAGGTGTCAAATCCTGGGGGTAGTTGGTGTGTCAGACCTAGCAGCTAGGGGCTAGAGGGATGGAGTGGTTTACCAGCTTCTGGGGGGAGGCAAGGGAGATGTCAGATCTCGAGGGTAGTAGGGGGGAGGGGGAAAAGAGATGGGAGATGTCAGGTTCCATGGGCACAAGAAGAAAGAAGTGTTAGACCCAAGAGGTACAGGGAGATTGGTGAGTCCCAGCAATAAATGGGAGGGAGACCCGGGGGGCCAGGTTTGGGGCTGGCGGTGGAGTATTTCAGTGTGTCCAGGGGGTGGAAGTGGCAAGTGAGGTTCTTGGATGTAAGGGTCTGGGGAGGTATAGTTGGGGGTACATGTGGCAAGTAGGGAGTTCAATTTAGCAGTTACTTGGGATTTAGATTAGGTATTTAATTTGGCATCTGTTTCCTCAGCAACTATTTACTTCACTGCAGTGGAACCCTCCAAATTCCCCAATTCAAATCAACATTTTTGGAGAGTTCCAAACATACAGGAATTGCCCAGTGGAATCGCCCAGTGGAATCTTCAATTTCCTGGGTAATTCCCTGGGAGTCTGCTATGTCAGGGATTTTACACAAGTATATGGATAAAGTTGTACGCTACCTATAGAATACAATAAGATCATTGAATCATTTCTGAAGGTGTGCTACAGATATATAAAGTCCAGGTAAGATCAACCTGGAACCCCACGAGCAACTCCACAAAACACATCTTGAGAAGAATATACCAGCCTTGGACAGAGTGCAGCACAGATTTACCAAAATTATACTTGGATTCTAAGGGTTAAATTATGAAGAGATATTTGGTAAGGTTGTATTGCCTCAAATATAGAGGGTTAAGGGGCAATTTGATTGAAGTTTTCAAAATACTATGGGAGAAAATGCAAAGTAATAACTTTTGGAGCTGGTTGGGGGTTTGAGGCCAAGGAAAGAGCTACATCTGTTTTAGAGTGAAGTTGGGAGCCATTTTATTTCGATGAAAGTCTGGAGCTGTCTCCCACAAACAGCAATTCATGCTAGGCCAATTATCTCATTTTAAGATCAGTAAATTTTTTGTTAACCAAAGGTATTAAGAAATATGGGGGAAATGGGAAGTCTAAGGATCTAGGTCACCAAATAACAGGATGGATACTAAATGTTAAATTGCCTACTCTTGTTCCAATGTCCTTGTGTTCTGTACAAGTTCCTTGAGCAGGTAGAAGTACCATTAGACACCACACTCATGTTTTACAGCTGAATGTTTGAGAAAAGAAAAATTCACAGTTACAAGTTGATGACAGATTAATAATATTACAAGACTTACATCCACAGCCTGATTATAACTGATCTTGGCTTGTATCATTTGAGGAGAGTCAGTAACGCTTGTAAATTTCAGGGAATATGGATGCTGACGATACTTCTTCTGTTAAGTACAAATTTAAAATTGAGAATTAATGTGTCTCTAAACATTGGTTGACATAAATGTCATTATTGAGCAGACGTTGCTAGTCAACAGATTTCTGAAAACAGTTTTCTGTATTTTAGTATCAGTTATGGCTCAGTAGATAGCACTTTCTCTCCCGCACAACAACCTTCTGGGTTCAAGATTTCCCCCAGTGTTGGTACACCAGCCTGATGCTGAGGCCGTGTTGCACTGCTGAACTTGCTATCTTTCATATGGCAATAGCAAACCAAAGCCCTATCTGTCTGCTCAGATGTATATAGAACATCCCATGCTATTTCAAAGAAGTAGTGAGTTATCCCTTAGTGCACTGATCAATAGTTATCCCTCAAATTGACATCATTAAAATAGATTATTCGGGCATTATCACATTGCAAATGTGAGAATATGTGACATGCAAACTGGAACCATTAAATTGAGGTTTTACAAGAATAAATATTGTTGATATGTAAGAAAACAATTTGCATTAATTTACCTACTTAATACATTTAAAATGTCTCAAATTATGTGCCATACAATAAGTTTGCTTTCATGTTTTGTTTCCTGTTTTAAGTGGACAAATAAGTGTCATTCTCTGTAAAGTGCCTTCAAACACATCATTGGGTTGGAAAAGTACTTAGAACATCCCATGCCTTGGAAGTGCCATAGTGCCTTTAATGTTAGCCTTTATCATAATAATAAGTATATGTGGCATCAGTGTCATATTTTGTTCAAAGAACACATTTTTAACCATGCAGCACCATCTCAACAGCCCTGAAGAGGAGCTTGAAACCACAACATTTCAGAGTCAAGCTAGGCTGGCAAATAGGAATAATGAATTTTTAGTTTTAATGAGGTCAGTGCTAGGCAATGGATTATATTTTTATTTTAGCCGCCTAGTTTCCGATTAGGAAAAGCATCATTAATGCATAAAGTACAATTTCTGCCATCTCCTACACCAAGTTGGTCTTGTGGCTACTTTGGGTAAGATTTCATACAATGTGCTAATTTACCACATCTTGTGCAAAGCAGCATGAATGGGAAGCGGAATCATAATACCTTCGATTTTTCAACAGTAATAACAACAAACTATCAACATTACGACATAAAATTCAAACAACTTATCTGCACACACGCAGTTACACGCAGAAAAGCTGAAGTTGCGATCAGTGATTTCCTGCTTCACAACAAGATGTACTGCCCACACTGTCGCAGTTGAAAATCTCAGAAGTCACTAGAATTGATGTGATCTTCCACTCCTTACACTATCAGTTCCATTGCAAAAACTTGAGAAAGTCCTGCTTTATTGAATGAAATAACTGTATGCAATTATCTTTTAAGGCTGTGCTAAGCCTTGATGAAGGAATTCTCCCTCACTGGCCCAGAAAATCTTAGATTTTGTTATTCTACAAATACACTTCTCCATTGTGAAAAAAGAACATAGATTATTAAAATAGGGGATTTTTTTTTAAAGACACTACATTTCAGCTTTGATCTGCATGTCCCAATATCTAGTTAATTCTTTCAGAAACAATTAAAAAGTGGATAATAATTGTGCTTTTTTAACTTCTGGTTTCGAACTGTCATAATTCTTTTAATGTGATTGACTGCTTGGCTTGTTTATTAATGTCACGATTGCTGGCTACCAATGATCCCCTATCATTGGGGCCAGGAAATTAATGTCAGGGAAAGTGAAACCCACATCAGGGAGATGGCAAGATCTTTGCAGGCAACTTTCTTCAAGATCAGCAACAAACTGATCTCAAATTCCTAGCCACAATCTCTACGGCTGTTTACTAATTGATGGGGACAGGAGGCATTCATTACACTTACCTCACTGAACAGTTCTCCTGCTTTCTTCGCCTGTTCAGCATTTAAAGAACCACTGGTTATCCATCCCACACCACGCATCCAATTCAAGTCAGACTTGTACTGGTTCTGATAAATTTTGGAAAGTAAAAGCATATTAATATTCTCTGACAGGATTACAAAACCCAATATAAATGCAGCAACTATTCTAGGGGTACAAATACTGCTGCCAAGATTGGAAAAATGACTCAGAGGATGTCCTGCACGTTTTTTATGTTCCTCTGTTAGTTCAAACTGGAAGAGCTATTAGTTGTCATTTCTCCAGGTCAGGATACCTTTAACAAAATGATTGGCATGAGTACAAAATCAGATTTCCTGTTTTCTGCATATGCCAATTTTTTTAGCTAAAATTATTGCCAAAAAGGAGAACAGCCCTCGCATACCCAAGAACAGGCCCTCCCCCTCCTATTAGTACTTGTGGCCAGGATTCATGTTCAGATTTAGCCTTCCAAAACATGACAGTACTTTTCGAAACAAGATAGCACCAAATATTGAATTAGCAGGCAACTATCAGAACATGCAGCATTAGAAGGCAGCAGACCTTGGCTCTATCTATTTACTTTAACTTTATGAAGTAACTATTTTCCAGCCTTCAATGATGCATGACTACACTTAATGAGTCATGGGCATGACTTGAAGCAAAGACTTTAAGAAAACTCGCTGTATAAATAATAAGCAGCACTTTATCACCAGCTGCACTCTTGAATTAGTTGGCTTTAATACTCTGGCAGAATTTGTATAATGTGATGACAAGAGTATGTTGCAAGGCAGAAAACAGACTTTTATCTGGCTTACAGCTTCCAGTTTGGATGACTTTAAAATGGAATAAAACTGAAAACTCTAAATAAACTGAAAGCCTATAATCTTATTTAATTGAATCCATGTTTTATCAGGGTAATCTTAATACTGTCAACATTTATGAGGCTTCAGAGCTTGGTGTATGTGGTAAGCTGAGCCAAACAAAAAGGTTACATATAATTGTCCCATAAACAGGAGGTTTGACTGTGCTTTGGAGAAATCAGAGCATGGGGAGTATTGCTCACAGGAATAACGTGCATATATCAGAAATGTAAATGAGTGGGCTTTTGCTGTGTCCCATCTTGCTGATCCTCCATATGTAGAACTACAGCTCTGGATGTTTTTGTTCCTATTTTCTATCAGGTCTGTTATACAAATATCTAGTTAGTAACTAGCTCAATGCGATTCAAATATGTCAAGAATATGTTATTCAAATATGATGCAAATCAAATCTAATATAGCGAGCTTCATGCTGAATATGTCATTGTAACCCAACAATATTCTGTGAAGTCAAAAACAAGATAGAATTTAAATGAAACTTATTTACACTATATAGAAATGTATTACTGTAATCAAACAGGACAACTGTTGGACTCAAACACGAAGCTTACATTACTTTGCAGAGCGTATGCTTTCTTAGCCCATTCAATTTTCATATCTCCAGGTAGGACAGTGTATTGATGGAATCTCTTCTTGTAGTCCCTGTCAGTGGCCAGGCTCTGAGCTTGTTTCGCATGCACCAATTCCAGCATGTCCATTGTAAGATGGATGTTTGTTTTCGTTGCCTCAGATTTCTTTTTGTATTCAAGGTCACTCTGCAACTTGGAAGCTTGGATAGAGTGAGCCATCTGAGAGTCACCCATTACATCCTTCACCCCAATCAATTTGCCCTTTATCCTTTCATGCATCTCCTTGTACTTGATCTGTTAAGAAATTTTATAGAGAGATTAATGGGCAAATTATGCAACTTTGCTATTTGTCTAATACTGCTTAAAAAGAGAAAAGATACTGTAGGCCTGAAAAATTGCAAAGCAATTGTAATGAAATCAGAGAAAATATCTATCCAAGCAAGTGTGAACTTATTCTCTAGTTTTAGAGAACTCTTTACTGTTGTTCATCTACTGACAGCTAAGTCCTTCTTTCCAGGCATAAAGATGACACTGTCTGTGCTGTGAAGCAATGTGATAAGGCTATCACTTGGGATGAAGAGCTTCTCTCAAGCATAAGTAACTTCATAAAAATCCTGGGATAGTAGGAACTGCAGATGCTGGAGAATCTGAGACAACAAGGTGCAGGGCTGGATGAACACAGCAGGTCAAGCAGCATCATAGGAGCAGAGAGGCTGACGTTTCGGGCCTAGACCCTTCATCAGAAAAGGGGGAGGGAAAGGGTTAGGGTTAGGGTTAGGGTTAGGGTTAGGACACTCATCCCGCCCCTTGACCTGTCCATCCTCCCTGGACTGACCTATCCCCTTCCTAACTCCCTACCTACACTCACCTTTACTGGCTCCATCCCCGCCTCTTCGACCTGTTTGTTTCCTCTCCACCTATCCTCTCCTCTATCCCTCTTCTATCCGCCTCCCACTCTCTCCCTATCTATTTCAGAACCCCCTTCCCCTCCCCCTTTTCTGATGAAGGGTCTAGGCCCGAAACGTCAGCCTCTCTGCTCCTATGATGCTGCTTGGCCTGCTGTGTTCATCCAGCCCTGCACTTCATAAAAATCCTCCCCATTTTTGATTATTGGTCTTCACCTACTGTCAGCCGAAAGTACAATTTTCCTAATCTTAAAAGGAGCACTAGATCCACGTTTCACTTGATCTCTTTTAATCAAATCTCCAAACAGTTCAGAGTTCTGTTCACCCATCCCAAATTAAACCTAAAAGTGGCTTTCACATGCTGAATGATCAACTGTATTTCTAGAATTTTTCACCTTTTGTTAAACATTTTAAGTATGCAGATTTTAATCTTCCCACTTCCTTTGTTCTTGTCAAATTCTTATGCAACACTTGGTTATAACATGATACAATCATACAATCAAAACACTTTTTAAATAGAATTTTGGCCAGGTTGACTCTTATTCAAAAGTTCTACAACACTGTGAAACCTTAGCCAGTTACATTAAAATAAAATCAATCATATTATTGAGATACATTGCGGAATATTCAACATTGATCACATTGTTTTTCTAATTGGTGCATTCAAATCTGAATGTTAAACAATTCACTTTTACTGGCGATATCGTAATGCCAATTGAAATTTTTAAGAAATAGAAATTGAAAACTACATGGCACAATTTGTGGGTCTAGGCCCAAAACATCTGCTTCCCTGTTCCTCTGATGCTGCTTGGCCTGCTGTGTTCATCCAGCTCTACACCTTGTTATCTCTATGGCACAATTTGTTAATGTTTTTCCAGTTATCCTCATTATCTTTCCATTTTGATGTTGCATCACAGTATATAACTTACATCACTTGCAAGATCTCGTTTTGCCTTTGCTTCCAAAATTGCAATAGTGTCCAGCCGTAGTTCGAAGCTCTTTTCTTTTTGAGCCTCCCAATCGCTTTTGTAGATTTTCTTGATAAAACACAAATTATAAAAGACGTCTTGAGCAGAAGCTATTTTATTAAAGTTCAAATCATTCAGCAATGGAAACAAATGATCAGGGGTTTAAAGGTTAGGCAATAAATGCTGGCCCAGCCAGTGACACCCAGATCTCATGAGTGAATTTTACAGAAGAGGCTCTGACTTGCATCTCAACCTAAAGTCGGGGGGAGGGGGAAATTTCAATGGGAAGTTTCTCAATGCCCAATTACAGCAGTGGCTGTAGAGCCGCGGATACCCCATTTCTCCTGGGTTTTCACAGCTGTGCAGATGGAGTAACTGTGAATCAGCAGCGGATCCCTTTGAGAATTCACTCTTCAGACCGGTTTATGCCAATGTGTGTCCGAAAGGCTACAATTCCCTGGAAGGCCAGTTTGCGCTAACGTTTAAAAAGCCTGGCTCCCACGTGCTAACCCATTCCGGGTGGGCTGCATCAGCTGACGATTGGATCAGCGGAGAAGTAGGCCCACTCTCAAGAGTTGCCAGCCAATCTAACTGGTTGACAGCCTTAGCATCTTAGCAGCGTCAGAACTCAACACTGGGCACTACTGGAGCTGCAAGCCAACCTCAGGACTCTTAGGAAGCATAGGGAAGGGGGGAGATTGGTGAAAGACTGGGTTTAGCAGGGCTAACATGGAGGATTGGGGGTATGTGGGGAATGCCTGATAGAGCACCCTCTGAGTGCTGCCACCTGACCTCCACCATTCGGGTATTACACAAAAGCTATTTCAAAAACACACCATCTTTGTACTCTGTCCTTTCGGCCACTGCCCTGAAATTTAAAGGCAGTGGAGTATAAATGAAGCCCTCTGTTGCTATTTAATTGGGCAGTTAAAGGCTTCAAAAGGCCTAAGGGAGTGCAGCCTAATGGGCACTTACCCACTCCCTTTATTCTGGGGAACAGGTTAGAAGTGCATGGGAGGGGATAAGCCAGGCACCCAGCAAACGTTTTACATGCCCTCTGCCAAAACCATGCCCAGCAGGAGTTCGCTAAATCTAGCTCCAAAATTTAACATTGGATTTTAGGCAGGTGGGGTTGGCAGGGGTTTGAGAGGGGTGAAGGGAAGGAGGGATATGATGGGATGAAAGATGAATCGAGTGAAGAGGTATGGGTTTTAAATAGATGAAGGTGAGGAGCTTTACACTGATCTGAAAAACAGGGCCAATACTTTTGGGGTCAAAGGTGCACAGTTCCTTTCACATGACTCGACCTGACTCTGGCTCCACCTCAGGCTTGCTGCCTACTGAAGGCATCCTCCAGGAAACTTAGGATCTGAACATCAGGAAAATTTCTGATATTCAATTTCTACCTGTATGATGGAAATCCAGCCCTTGGACTTTGTTTTATTCACCTTTTATCATGTACATTTTGATATGATTTTAGTTTATATGGTTCTTAAAGTTTGACCTATTAACCTTCCATGATGTTGCCCAAGAAATGCCAATTTAAAAGAAATTCCTTCTGTATGCATCCATGTGCTAGTCTCCCAATCTCAAAATTATTTTTTATCTCTCCGTCTTTATCTTTCTCTTTGTCTTCCCCTCATTCTAGTTCTTCACAGAGATATTCTCATCATTGTTTTCTCTGCTTTTCTTTATACATTTTTTTGCCTCAAGCATACTTTGATACTTCAAATTACAGACTGATAGGTATTCATGGTAATTTAAGATATGCTGCTGTACCACATAAATTTTTTTTTAAGTCATGAACAATAGGTTATAGTCCAAAAGTAGGAATGCAGAAATCAGAGCTGAAATCCAACCATGGCTAGATGTGGGACTAGTACCCGATTATTTTAAATATTAAACTGATTAACAAGTTGATAAGGGAACCTGTTATACTTATTATTGATTTCAGCCAGAGCTACACCATGTGAATGATTCTTATTGGTTTCAAAAATAATTTAGCAAAGCCACTGTATCGCAATAGTATTGCCTTCTAAGAACAACTAAGAATTGAGGCAATATGGGCCCTTGATAGATTCATTCATATCCCAAGAACAAGTAACAAGGGCACACAATTTTTTAGGGGGTACTGAATGTCACTTCTTTGCTTCCTCCCTTGCAGAAAGGTCAACTATTGTACCCAACTAACATAACATGTTACAAAAGCTGAACAGTTGCCCCGCAATCTCAACGTTTAATTAAATGGTTTACTTACATCACTTAGATACTTAGCATTTTCCTTGGCTTGTCTGAACAATGGTTCATCTTTGCTGATGCTGTACTGATGAAGACTCTGTTCACCTGTTGCCTTATATGTTATCTGCACAAAGTGGAAGAACAAGGAAAAATTCTTGACTCAAAGAAATTTTTTTAAAATTTTTACATATGAATTCTTATATTGGATAAGATGTTGGACTTATAAATTTTTGATTTTAACAATACATTTCTCAATACCAACAGGCATAATTATCCAAACCATGGCAGTAACCCAATGCAAGACTGTGAAACATGAAAAGATTTCAATAGCATTTCAATATTGATTCTTCCAAAGTTATAGCAGCTGCAAAATCAAACAAGTGAAAACTACTTTTAAATTAACAGTTTATAAAGAAAGCAGATCTTATCAGTTACCATATTTAATTGTTTCTTTGTGTGGTACAGCTTCACAGCTCTATTATGACTAAGTAAATTAAAAATGCTTCAAAGGACATTTAAAGTTATTACATAGTATATGAATGGACTCTAGGATTTTTAACTTTACATTTCCAAAGTCAAAAGTTTGCAGAATTAAGTTAGTAGCTTCTAGATGCTTTGTTTTTTTTTAAAAAAACTAAAGTTTCCAAACCATCATAAGATCCTGGAACATTGATATCTAAAGTAACATAGCACCTACTGAGAGCAGAACAGACCATAATATATAACAACTTAACAGATACAATCACCTTTAGCAGCGAGATGTACTTATATAGTGATTCCAGTATGTAGCTTCCTTTCCTTTGTGTCAGTGATGAATAATTTCTCTTATAATTGAGCAAAGGTTATGAGTACATAAAATACAACAGATCTGCAGTAATCTGTTTCTTAATTACATATTCTTCTTTGATGACATTCAGCACTGAATTGTGATATTTTATCATATATTTACAGGAACAGGTCATTCAGACTTTTTGCCACTTCATGAGATCACAGCTGATCTTTCATCTAGTTTCATAAACCAGCTTTTGGTCCCCATCCTTCAATGCTTATAGTTCACAAAACTCTACTAATCTCAGATTGAAAAATAATAATTGATCTAGCATCAATTGCCACTTGCAGAAGGGAGTTCCAAACTTCTATAACCCTTAGACTGCACAAATGCTTCCTTATTTCATTCCCAAAAAGTCTGATGTTACCATTTAGGCTATGCCTCCTAATTCTAGATTCCCCAAGTCCCTTAATATTTTGCAAAAGTCAATCAAATCCCCACTTAACCTCCAAATTCCATGGAATACTACAATTTTGTAGTCTCTTCTCATAATTTAAGCCTTGGGATGTTATGCTGGTAAACCACACCTCCTCCACGGCAAGTGTATACTTTCTGAAGTGTTATGCCCAGGGCTGCTTGTGGGTACTCCAGGTGTGGTCTAACCAAGGCTTTGTCTAAGTAAAACATGACTCCTATTTTCCTTATATTCTAGGTCTATAGATAGAAAGGACAGCTACTGGTACTAACTAGGCCCAGTTTTGAAGAAATTCATTTCTAAGTGTCTTGTCTCTTGCAAAGAAATGTACGTTTGAAGCTTCGAAAAAAGAAGAGGGAAGAGAACCCACAAAATTTGAAAGTATCAGATGCTTAGAAGTAAACACTCCATCTTTTTTTTCAAACTTTTCCTGTTTGATCAGCTTTGTTTATGACGGTGGCATCCATCACTCTTTGAAAACAGTGTTTCTTTCATAAATGATCTCTCATCACCAGTGCAGTACTCACATCACTTTGCAAATCTTGACTTTTCTTGGCGTGAATAATCTGTGGAGTGTCTGCCACACTTGTGAATTTTAACGCATCAACTCTCTGTCTGTACTTTCTCTGCCAGTTGAAAGAGTGCAATTTAATCTCTGACAATAGTGGACTTGAATTGAAAGCAAGTCAAACATCAATACATGTCTAATCAAACAAACAGTAATCAACACATAGTGTAGTTTTAAAACTACGATTAAACAAAATTATCTATCAGAATTTCTTCCCTTTTCTTCAAAATTGTTTCTGAAGTGACAACATTGTTTCATTAAAAACTCAACATTTAATGTTGGTAGATGGGACCTGGTTTGCCACCAACTAAATAAGTAGCTCATTTTAATATTCTCTTCTCAGATTTTAAAAATATATAGTTTATTCACATAGTTATAATTTGATTTTGTGACAGAATTTTCACCAGCCTGCCACTGTAGAATAAACAATAATATATTATGAGAAATAGGAACAGAAAAATTGTCACCTAGGGGCTTGCTGGTAGCACAGCTTCATTGCCCATTGGCGGATGAAAGGTAGAACAAATTTTGCATTTCCACCAGCTTATATTTGAAGCAGTAAATAAAGGTGGAAATTCAGCTTGCCCCACATTAATATCATTGATTATGTCTTTTGCATTATCTCAATTTTCATCAAAACATCAGCCTTTGGGCGGTTAGATACTCAACAATCATCTATTTTCAACCATTAACATTCGATTAAAATCACAGGAAACTGTATCTAGTTACTGTAAACAGGAAAGTACTATGGACACCCTGTCACACAAAGGCTGTACATCTGGTGTAATACAGTTCCCTTACTACCACAGGCAATTTAGAACCATGTGCACAGAAGAACAGAAGCTTATAAAGTGCAGAAAAACACATATGAGACAATGGTTATTAAAATTGAAATCAGTGGAAGAGACAAGCATGGGGGAAACATCACTTGATTTCAGAAATTTGGTGAAGAAGAAATGCGAACAAATGTCTGGAAAACAAAACAAGGTGATGTGGTTACGGTGAGGGGATTAAAGGGTTCATTGAAGCAGTCACACTTTGATTGACAAGTTAATCTGTCAGTCACCTTGCCATTTTAGTTTTATAAACTCTTGTCAAACTCAAGCTTTCAACACAAAGGTTGCTGAGGGATTGCTAAGGGGCAGTGTGTCACTGATGTTTATTACCAAAGAGAAACATCAAGCCAGATTTATTGTCAGGTTAAACTGCTACACAAAGGACAAGTAATTTCATGGTCATCACGTGGCTTCACCAAAAATCTCCAACTGTTCTTAAATAAAAAAAGAATTTTCTGGGATGAAACTGAAATCTTAATCAAAAATAGGTTCACTGACTCTGTATAACTATATTTGTGCATTTTTTGTTCATGCCTACGAATGGAGCTCCATCTTTTATGAATAATTCTGACACTTGATCAATCAGCCCCATTTGCATTAGCTGTTTTCAGATGAAAGCATGTGATACAATCAGGCCTCTGTTCCTGTTTCTTAGTTAAGGCAATGCATGGAGCAATATAAATTGGTTTGATCATTTTCTGAATTTAGTATTGCTCTTGGGCAGGATATTGGTAAACTAAAGAACTTAACAACTATTACCTATTAAAACAATCATGTTGATATTCAAGTCAAGGAGTCACTTCCTGAACAACTGGCATTTCACAATCCTGGATTTGAAAACACAATAGCAGCCTACATATTTTTTTAAATTGCTTGTGCTATGAGACATACAGCATCCACATCGATTGTGCTGATGAAGGCACATCTGAAATATTAACTTATCATTCTTTTTCAAACACTGAGTGACTTGCTGTGCTCATCCATTATTTTTGTAGTTACCTTGTTTTATTTCAGCAGCATTTTCTTAATCTGAACTGCAAAGCCAGATTTACAGTCCAGAAGCGATTTAAAATCCACCCTGCATTGTATTAGATCTCATGCGATGCTGTTTTGAGCATTGTAGCATCTCAGCACCAGAGACCCAAGTTCAATTCTACCCTCAGGTGACTGTGTGGAGTTTGCACATTCTCCCCATTTCTGCGTGGGTTTCCCCCGGATGCTCCAGTTTCCTCCCATTGCCAAAGATGTGCAGGTTAGTGGATTGGCCACAGGAAATGCCGGGTTATAGGGCAGCGGGTCTGGGTGGGATGCTCTTTGGAAGATCGGTTTGGAAGCAATGGGCCAAATGGCCTGCTTTCACACTGCAGGGATTCTATGAATCAATGCTTAACCCACATTGTGGATGTTATTTACAACATGAAATTGAACTCACTTATGGCCTGTGTCAGTTTTGACAGGCAGAAATATCTCCATCCTTCACAGACACTTGACATTAATGCAGACAAACTTTATTACCTTCCAGATGTGACTCACTTTAATACTCAAATATTCAGCTGTTGGCAATTCAACAATTTTAGAATTGTTCCTGTTTGTTCTCAACCGATAATATATTATGGCAAGTAATTATTAGCCATTGCATAGGTTCTGAACTTTCTCTTACCCACAGAATGTTCATGGATTCCAAAACTATTAATTTTATATCAGGAATATGGTGTAGTAGTCGCAACTCAGACAATTTAAGAGCTTGTATCAGTTGTTACTTGGCTCATTGTTTGCCAGTAACTATAACATTTTGTATCACATGTTAAGATAATCTGGTAGATAATGCAATAAATTAATGCTGGTTATTGCCCCCAGTAACTTGCAGCCACATATTGTGGTATCAGTATCATGGCTAGGGATCACAAGATATCTTGTCAGTCCCTCAGAAGTGTGATCCATTTCTACAATGTGCAATATTAATAACAAACTCGGTAACATGTTTGCACACCATTTCTCAGGCTTGCTATTTTGTTAAAGTGCCAATGCATTTAAAGTAAGCTCTTTCACACTTTTGTTCACGTGAACCCACTGATGTGCTAATTACTAATATAGATGCACAATTCTAATCCATTTATCAGCTATGATGGCAGAGCTTTAACTGCCTACAAGTTAAGAAATAATTGCTCACGTGTTTCCATGAACAATTATTATCAGAGAACATGATTCAGTCAAGACCAAAGTCACACCATTAACAGAAAATTACATGTTTCGTTCTAGTCAGTTTGCATTCTCACCTCGCTCAGGATGTCCCTGGCTTTCCTAGCCTGTTCCACATCCAGGCATTGTTCAGCCTCCCATCCTACACCTTTCATCCACGTCAGATCTGCTCTGTACTTACGCTGTAATTTAAAGATTAATAAAATGGCTTCTTTTTATGTTGTTAGTGTCGATAAAACCTAGTTTATAAACATCATTGCCTAAAGTGTACAAAAAACAGAAACGATCTTCCATACTGTATTCAAGCTGTATAATGGGGTCTATCTCTTATATCTTTTTAAAGGCATTTATACGAGATACATGTACCTCTAGGTACAGAACTGCTGTACTGACCAGTGCAGAGTTAGTTGATCCCAGTGCAAATATTCACAGCAACCCTACAGAATTTCCAGATCATAATTACTTTCATGTAACCCTTGCTAGAATAGTATATATGCAACAGTTTAATGCTCCCATAATCAAGCAGTTTGCCATCTAACGTTACACAAGCAGAACTCTTATTTTTTGGGTTGATGCTAGAAATCTACTCCACACTTGGCACTTCATTAGGAAAGACAGGAAGGGGCAGCAACAGAAAAATATTTAAACATAACAAAATAAGGTTGTATTAACTTTTAATTACCAGGTATGAGTACAATTTCCTTCATAGTGACATCAGTTTCAGTATAATCGATACAGTGTGAGCTGGAGGAACACAGCAGATCAGGCAGCAGATGAGCAGGAAAGTTGATGTTTCAGGTCAGGACCTTCATCAGGACTCCAGACCCTGAAGGGTCCCAACCCAAAACGTCAACTTTCCTGCTCCCTTGATGCTGCCCTACCTGCTGTGTTCCTCCAGCTCACACTGTATTGACTCTGACTTCCAGCATCTGCAGTTCTTGCTATCTCCTAGATTCAGTATAATATTCTGCAATCTATATCCCCTCTGGACACATCATTTGTCCCATTACCACTCCCTTTAGGGTCTGCATCTCCAACTCTTTTGTAACTTAATGTCTCTGAGCTTCCATCCTATCTAAGTCCTTCCCTTTTGGTCTTCTTCCTCCCTCCCACATTTTACCTATTTAAAACTGATACATCTCTAAATTTTGCCAGCTCTCGTGTAGCATTATTGACCTTAAATGTTACCTCTGTACACAATTCTCTGTTAAATTCTCTCCACAGATTCTGCCTGATGTGCTCGGCATTTCCAATTTTTTTTTAAATTAAATAAAATTAGGTTCTGCTCCATCTGTACATTGAAAGCAAATAGCTTACAAAATGAACAGACATAATATATTAAGACGTACAAGATTAAATAAACAAAGAGAACACAATTTTGCACCATCTTGGCCCCACCTCATTCTGTAAGCCATAGGCTTTCTTTGCCCATTTCACTTTCATGTCTTCTGGCTCCAATGTATAGCCATGGAGCCTCTTCCTATAATTCAAGTCACTGGCCAAAGCCTGGGCTTTCTTGGCATGTGTCAGGTTGACCATGTCCAGTGGCAGGTGGAATTTGGTGTTTGCTTCCACACAGTTCTTCTTATACTCTACCTATAGTAAACAAGATTAAAAATAAGCTATTTGAACAACAATAACAACAACAACAACAACAACTTGTATCTATGTAACAGTAAGTGTGAAGGTAATGAATTGTGAGCTACATACATCTAATATAATGAATAATATTTTGGAGTAACCTGAATCATTGAGCCATAGAGTCATGGAGATGTACAGCACAGAAACAGAGCCTTCGGTCCAACTCGTCCAGAATGACCAGATATCCTAAATAAATCTAGTCCCGTTTGCCACCATTTGTCCCATATCCCTCTAAACACTTCCTATTCACATACCCATCCAGATACCTTTTAAAATGTTGTGATTGTACCAGCCTCCACCACTTCCTCAGGCAGCTCATTTCATGCACACACCACCCACTGCGTGAAAAAGTTGCCCCTTAAGTGCCTTTTAAATCTTTCCCCTCTCACCTTAAACCTATGCCCTCTAGTTTTGGACTCACCCACAGGAAAAAAGACCTTGACTATTCACCCTATCCATGACCCTCACAATTTTATATACATCTACAAGGTCACCCCTCCGTCTCTGATCGCCAGGGAAAATATCCCCAGTCTATTCAGCCTCTCCCTATAGCGCAAACCTTCCAGTCCTGGCAACATCCTTATAAATCTCTTCTGAACCATTTCAAGTTTCACATCCTTCCTATAGCAGGGAGACTGGAATTGCACACAGTATTCCAGAAGTGGCCTAACCAACACCCTGTACAGCTGCAACATGACCTCCTAACTCCTGCACTCAATGCACTGACCAAAAAAGGCAAGCATACCAAACACCTTCTTCATTATCCTATCTACCTGCGACTCCATTTAAGGAACTATGAACCTGCACTCCAAGGTCTCTGTTCAGCAACACTCCCCAGGACCTTATCACTAAGTGCATATTCTAATATATATGCTTTCTGAGGTTATAGATTACCAATATATTAATCAATGACCAACTTAACAAAATAGCCAACTTGCTGTAAATTTTAACTTCTGTCTATTATATGAAATCGTAATTTATTTTAACAAAAAGTAAAAGATCACGCGTAGGGAAAAAAGAATCCAATGTCAGTTGGAAGGGAAATTTGACTTCTGATGGCTAACGTGCTAATCCATAATGATTTTAAATTGCATATTGAACTGAAGTAAATAATGGGATTTTGATTTTTCTTATCTAATGTACCTCACTGCTCATCTTGGAAACCCGCAGAGAATGCAGAGTCTTCGAATCATATACTTTGCTTCTCATTGCCTTGCCCTTGGTTTTCTCATATGCTTCTTTGTATTTTATCTTTCAAACAACAGAGAGAAAGAAAGGAATTAAATTAAAATATGTAGCAGTCAGCTGGTGATAAAGAGCTAAAATAAATGATTTAAACACTCTTTCAATCTTGTGGGCCTGGAAATGATCATTTGCCTTCATATGATATTTCTCTACCTTGTACTCTGACTGCAAGCTATTTATTTAAAATAAGTTAAAATAGTAGGGAATGAAAGTCATTAAGTGTTGTACATTAATATCACAAGCTAGTATTTCTAGACTGTTCCATGTTAGATCATGTACGGACTGCCTGGTCCTAAGAATTCCAAAAATAATTTGGTACACTTATATGGTGCATTTGAAATTGAACAGGCCACTCTGCTACGAAGCATTATTATAACAACAATTTGGACTGATAAAACACCTCAAGCATAGAACAACATCCCAAAGCACTTCACAAAGTTGTAAGGGGTAACGAGGTGGGGGCGCAGAAATGGTCATGAAGCCTAAAATAAAGTGGGGGAAGATTAGGAAAGTTGACCAAAAGCTTGGTCAAAATTAAGCTAAAGAAGAAGAAGGAGGCTGATTGATTTAGGAAGACAATTTCAGACATAGGTGGGTGAAGGCGCTGTCACCAATATCTGGCTAAAGAGAACACGTGAGGCATGAAAGGCTAGAATGAGAGAAAAGGAGCATTTGGAGTACTGGAGGAGGTTACAGCTTGGCAGGGACAGGTTTAAATGTAAGGCTGAAACCTGGTCATTGGAGGACTGGGAATCAATCAGTTCTGAGGAAGCATCACTCAACCCAAAATATTAACTCTGATTTCTGTTCACAGATGCCACCAGACCTGCTGAGCTTTTCCAACAATTTCTATTTTTGTTTCTGATTTACAGCATCTACGGTTCTTTCAGTTTTTATTGACTGGGAATCAATGTTGGTCAGTGTGGGGCAATGATGAGTAGAATTTAGTGTGAGAAGTAGAATTTTGGACAAGTTGGTTTATGGAGCTTGGATAATGGAAGGCTAGCTAGCAAAGCACTGTAATCAAATCTAAAGATATCAAATGTATGGATGAGGATTTCAAGCATACAGGACTGAGGAATAATAGAAAAGCATGAATATAGATAAAAGCACTTTATATGATACAGCGGATATGCGACAAATTAAAATCCAAGATTATTAATAATTCCCTTGAGCTCATCCCACAACTCAATCAATTTATGCCTGATTTGTACATTAACTCCATTTAACCACCTTTGGACTACATCCATTGAAAACATTACCTGATGAATAAAGTGCATTTAAACAAAACCCACAGCATTCTGGGGAAGATATTTCCAGATTTCCATTGCTTTTAATTCAACAAATGCTTCCTAACTTCCCTGGTAAATGGTCCAACTTGAATTTTAAGATCTTGTCACTTTGTGAATTGCCGACTCTGGAAAAATAGTTTCCATACACTATCCAACCCTTTATAATTTGAGATAACTCATTTAGATCACACCTCAACCCTTTGAACATGTACAGAGACTATTATCTTATATTCTATTTTATCACAACGTTGAGCCAGTCAGAAACTTGCAGCCCAGATTTTGTGTGGGCAGCTTTGATAACTTTTTCACAGAATCACGGATGCAAAATGTTTTTTGCTGTAAAGACTCTCTTCCAGAAATATATTTCCATGCACATGGGAATCTTGAGGTTTCCTGACTAGAATGAACAATAATTAGTTGTCAGCATTCATTTAATTTTCATCTACTGTCAATCTTTTATAAACTTGAAGTATATTCTATTAACTTTTATTAACCTGCACCGTTGTAAGCCTGACAGAAAGAAACCGACAGTGTCAATGGAAACGAGTTTGCACATAGTTTCAAGAACACTGATGAGAGAGAAGAGAAGCAACTTACATCACTTGCCAGCTCCCCCGAGGCTTTGGCAGCTAAAAGGGCTAGCGAATCCAAATTCACATGAAACCCCTTGCCTCTATTCTTTTCCCAGAATTCTTTGTACTTGATCTGAGGACACAACGTTTACTCAAGTTACACATTATACATATATATGTACACGTAAGATTGCGGCAGAAGCAGCTTCCCTTAAAATCAAAAATAACCACTCTGAGAAATTGCAGGAAGGAATAGGGTAATGTGACTCAGAATTCTTTCAGGAAGGCCAAAATGGATCATACAGATTCCCTCTATATTTATAACCAACTTGCTCAAGCATGCATTGCCTCATTTCTGGGGCAGCTGGGACATGAACCTAGACCTCCTGGCCCAAGGTAGGGACACTACCACCGTACCACAAATGCCCCCTTAACAACTATATTGTATATATCTCTTTTTAAATTGCACTCAGTGCCAACTCTGGAGAAGCATTTCAAGTACTTTCTTTGTTGACTGGTATTCATTTAAAAAAAATGATTTTTCACAATCTCGGGATGTCGCAAAAAGATCTTTACAGCGAGTGAGATTTGCTTGAAGTACGGTCACTGTTGTAATGTTGGAAACACTGCAATCAGGTTACACATAGCAAGCTGTCAGAAACAGCACTGTGACAATAACCAGAGAATCTGTTTGTTGGTGCTGTTTCTTGAACCATAAATATTGGCTAGGCCACCAGAGATAACTCCCCTGCACTTCTTCAAACTAGCACCACGGAATCTTTCATTTCAATCAGAGGGGGCAGATGGGGCTTTAGTTTGATGCTTCATCCAAATAACAGCATCTCCTAACAGTGCAGCGCTGGAATATCAGCCTGGATTCTTGCGAGCAAGGACTGGAGTAGGACTTGAGCCCACCGCCTTCTGGGCATACAGGCAAAAGTTCTCCCAACTGAGCCACGACTGACAATAATCTCCAGAGAGAACAGGAAATGGAATCTTCAAATTAATTAACCCAAAAAACACAGCTTAATGGAAGGTTCACTTATTCACAATTCATCTCAAGTGAGTCGCATTTTGGGAAAATTCTGACACATATAGTCCTTTAGTCAGCACTATTCAGACGAAGGGTCACACTCTGAACTTTAACCCATCTTATTCTCTCAGTTGCCGATAAACCTGCCCACCGTATCTAACTCTGCAGAGAGTTGTACAGTAAAACAGAAGAGTGAGATGGAACATTTCTGGTCTTATGGAGTTCGGTTTGATGGTGGCAATAGAAGCAAATATGGGCGATCTTGGTGAAGGCAGGAGAGCATTGGCAGCACTGATCTGCCCAGCAGTAGTAAGACATCATTAATGAGCAATTCAAGGCTTAAGTGAGGTGGATAGGAAGCATTCAGCTGGTTGGGTAACCAGCCAATTTGCTTGCCTGGCAAAGAGGTGACCAGCTGAGGCCCTTTAAATTAGCTAGTAACTGATCACTTAAGGGTCTTAATTCCCACTAGTTGAGAAATTTGCTGCAATTAAATGCCAGACAATGGTGAGAAGGAGGTGAGATGCTCTGCAGGGCAAAAGCTCACAAATTGTTTCCCTTTCTCACCACCTCCAGAAGGGGGCATTTCTGTCCATAGTCTTCAAGGTAATGTCAGGAGAAAACACAGCAAAGTTCCCACCAATGGCAATGTGCTGATGGCTGATTTCAAGTTGTTGGTTGAGGTAAAAATTGACAAGGATTCCAGGAAGAAATCCAAATTATGCCTTGGGATGCTTTAATTCCTCCTAAGTGAGGAGGCAAGGCCTTGCTTTTGTGACCTACACTGCTTACTATACTCCTTCAGTGCTGTGAGGTGTTCATAGCTTTGGAGTGAGACATGAATTTACAACCTAACAGAGAGATGGCAGTGCCAGCGCTAAACCAGAGTTGGTACCTATTTGCTGAACTGACATATTTGAAAAGCTCCATGGATTTAGTGCGTAAAGGGCTAACCGGTATGTTGAATGAGATCTAATTAACATAAAAACAGAAGGTAATTTAAATCTTGTTGCAATCAAAACCTGAATGCAAAATGATTAGAAAAATAACCCAAATGCAAAAACAACTAAAATGGAACCTTACAGATAAATACATGCAAATCAAGTCACTATGCTTGGATTGGGTGTTACAGTAACTTTAATTAAATAGTGGAACACCTTTTGACCAGCGAACTTGGAAAATGGTAAGTGCTGCATAGCTGCAGGGACTGAACAAACAAGAATAACAAACATTAGGAGTTGCTGTTTGTGTAGAATAAGGCTGCCATCTTCTGGCCTCTTGTTAGTCAAACATCACTTTGCACCACACCATCAGACAGTGAGGAGCCGTCAGTGCTATTTATCAGGCACTAAGTGAAAGGTTCACTCAGATGTATTTCTTACTCAGCCCAAACATAGAAGCAGGTAGATGCACTTTAGATCCAGTAAACCACAAAATGTGATAGCAAATATATACAATTGTTTCATTATTGCAAAGACTAGAGAGAATAGCTCCTGCTATTTCCTCTCATCTTCGCCAGAATGGATACCTTCTGTAACTGTGCTAGCACTAGGTCAGGCCAGCTAGGTGGGAGATTGGACACTAATATCACCATGCTAGTAAAACAAAATGTTAGCTTTTCTACAATATCAAGCGGGATTCTGCTAGATTTAATACTTTACTCAGTATATTATATAATTGCCTTGAACAAATAAAAAACCGCTTCTGAACATTCCTTCCCTCTCAGCCATGTACAAGAAAACACAGCTACTAGGTATAAACATGGGTCCTTCTAATATGAAGCAGCCAGTATAAATTAAGTGGAGTCAAAACTGTAACTTAACTTTTTAGCAATATTTTATCATCTCATTCACCAAATTAAAAAATAATCTTGGAGAATTTGAACTTTACGCAAGTTCCAAATATGAGGAACAGTTAAACTCTGATTGTAAGGCAAAATGATCCTGTGCTCCAAATCAATGGGAAGATTTTAGCACCTCCTACCCAATCACAACCACATTGTATGGAGAGAGGCAGGTATCTTGCAAACTGCTCATTTCCTTCGCCAAGAGAATTAAATTGACCTGATGAGACCAACAACCAGTTTAAACAATGACTGAGTGTGAGCGCTATGCAGAAGCAGAAATGATCTCCTTCAAATATGCAGATTGGGTTCCAAGGACATCCTACAGGGTAGGAGTAGAATAGTAACCTGAGGCTGGAGTGAGGGATCTTCCCACCAGGCAAAGGTTCTGTGGAAGTAAGCAGCTCAAGGCTCCACAACAGAACCTTGAGGCCTCACCTGCCTCAGGCTTCCCTGCCACACACTTCAATTCTAACACCCTTGTTATATGTGTGCTTTGACTTTGAGACTTTAAGGACTCCATGTCGTGTATGCATACATTGTTGCAAATCTACCTGACAGTTAGAACATAGAACATAGAACATTACAGCGCAGTACAGGCCCTTCGGCCCTCGATGCTGCGCCGACCTGTGAAACCAATCTGAAGCCCATCTAACCTAAACTATTCCATTATCATCCATATGTTTATCCAATGACCATTTAAATGCCCTTAAAGTGGGCGAGTCTACTATTTTTGCAGGCAGGGCATTCCACGCCCTTACTACTCTCTGAGTAAAGAACCTACCTCTGACATCTGTCCTATATCTATCACCCCTCAATTTAAAGCTATGTCCCCTCGTGCTAGCCATCACCATCCGAGGAAAAAGGCTCCCACTGTCCACCCTATCTAATCCTCTGATCATCTTGTATGTCTCTATCAAGTCACCTCTTAAACTGCTTCTCTCTAATGAAAACAGCCTCAAAACCCTCAGCCTTTCCTCATAAGATCTTCCCTCCATACCAGGCAACATCCTGGTAAATATCCTCTGCACCCTTTCCAATGCTTCCACATCCTTCCTATAATGCGGTGACCAGAACTGTACGTAATACTCCAAGTGCGGCCGCACCAGAGTTTTGTACAGCTGCAACATGACCTCATGGCTCCGAAACTCAATCCCTCTACCAATAAAACCTAACATACTGTACGCCTTCTTAACAACGCTATCAACCTGGGTGGCAACTTTCAGTGATCTATGCACATGGACACCGAGATCTTTCTGCTCATCTACACTACCAAGAATCTTACCATTAGCCCAGTACTCTGTATTCCTGTTACTCCTTCCAAAGTGAATCACCTCACACTTTTCCGCATTAAACTCCATTTGCCACCTCTCAGCCCAGCTCTGCAGCTTATCTATGTCCCGCTGTAACCTGCAACATCCTTCCGCACTATCCACAACTCCACCGACTTTGGTGTCATCCGCAAATTTACTAACCCATCCTTCTACGCCCTCATCCAGGTCATTTATAAAAATGACAAACAGCAGTGGCCCCAAAACAGATCCTTGAGGTACACCACTAGTAACTGAACTCCAGGATGAACATTTCCCATCAACCACCACCCTCTGTCTTCTTACAGCTAGCCAATTTCTGATCCAAACCGCTAAATCACCCTCAATCCCATGCCTCCGTATTTTCTGCAATAGCCTACCATGGGGAACCTTATCAAACGCTTTACTGAAATCCAAATACACCACATCAACCGCTTTACCCTCATCCACCTGTTTGGTCACCTTCTCGAAGAACTCAATAAGTTTGGGAGGCATGACCTACCCTTCACAAAACCGTGTTGCCTATCCCTAATCAAATTATTCCTTTCTAGATGATTATAAATCCTATCTCTTATAATCCTTTCCAACACTTTACCCACAACCGAAGTAAGGCTCACTGGTCTATAATTACCAGGGTTGTCTCTACTCCCCTTCTTGAACAAGGGGACAACATTTGCTAGTCTCCAGTCTTCTGGCACTATTCCTGAAGACAATGGCGACATAAAGATCAAAGCCAAAGGCTCTGCAATCTCCTCTCTAGCTTCCCAGAGAATCCTAGGATAAATCCCATCCGGCCCAGGGGACTTATCTATTTTCACACCTTCCAGAATTGCTAACACCTCCTCCTTATGAACCTCAATCCCGTCTAGTCTAATAGACTGTATCTCAGTATTCTCCTCGACTACATTGTCTTTTTCCTGCGTGAATACTGACGAAAAATATTCATTTAGCACCTCTCCTATCTCTTCGGACTCCACGCACAACTTCCCACTACTGTCCTTGACCGGCCCCAATCTTACTCCAGTCATTCTTTTATTCCTGACATACCTATAGAAAGCTTTAGGGTTTTCCTTGATCATAGAAAGCTTTAGGGTTTTCCTTGATCGTAGAAAGCTTTAGGGTTATCCTGCTGTGGGTCTATGAGCTCTACACACACATACACACACACACACACACACACAAACCAATTGCTTTACTGTAACATTTGCTTCGTAACATATATGGGCTTATTGTTTTAATGAACTAACCCACAGAATTAATCAGTCCCTGATGAGCAATTGATCACTAGACAATTGTCATTAACGTGACAAGGTGAACAATAGTGGTGGTCGAAGCAAAATATGCCGATGAGACCTTTCAAGCTTGAAAAGTCAACATGTAAGTTAATCTAGACGGGAAATATATGGTTAACAACGTTAAAATTAGAAAAAAGGTTCATGAGATAAATCCTCTATGTCTTTGTTACTGTACCAGAGTATGTTGAAAACACAGCTTGCAGGTAAGCAAATAAATCCTGATCAAGAAGTCAATTTAACTCTCTTGGCAAAGGCAAGTGAGCAACCTGCATTCCAGATCCATAAACACACATGGAAATGTTATGGGCACATTGTCAGAATATCCACAAACTCCCTACTTTTAACTTGGGACACAGCAGACCTCCTAACATAATTAAAAACGCTTAAAAGGTATTCAAAGCTAGGCTTTGTAATGGGGGGAAACAAGTCATTAATGTTTGCTTAGCAATTCAGAATAGAAGTTTATACGGAGTTAACGCATCAAGATTAACTGCCAAAGGAGCTAAAAGATCCCTAATTCCTAGGATCCACATTAGAAGAGTTCAGAGTCAGACTAAAATTTCTGTATTAATTGTCTATAATTCATGTAATTTAAAACAGAAGTCTACAGAATGCATAGATCACTCCATGAGATGTATGGAAAAAGGCACATTGTGATTTTGTAGATGGAGATCCAGCAAATAGAATTACTGGTTTGGTGATGTTATCTAACCCTATGGAGTTTTCCAAAGAGATTTGTTAAACAGACTTACAACCTTAAACAGCCACCAGGGGTGGATGTAATTATAAAGTGATCCTTGCAAGCAATGAAACTTACAGTGCCAAGCACCAACTAGATGGTTGACACAATGACTAGAACACCCAAACATAGCAAAATATGTGAAAGATATGGTGTTCTGAATGCACCAAGGAAATGGCCAGCTTTCAATCAAATTTGCAAGGCATGTAGCAAAAAAGGTAATGAACCAAAAGAGGTAATGAACAAAGCTGATAAAATTACAAAGAGCTGTGCACTAATCCAAATAGACCACATGCAAAATATCTTCAAGTTACAATGAAGACAATGTGCTAATCTGCCAGAGGCATATACATGAAGAAGTGACTGACAAACCAGAATCAGATTATATACACGGCGAGTCAATGAGTGGTGAACATGTTTCCTACTGTCAAACTCATGGAAAACATCAATGTCATCACAACCTCTACTGTGTTTGCACAAGTCAGAAGTATCTGTTGTGAGAAGATAATGACAACAAGTTACAGATTACCACAGTGGCAAGTGCAATTATTCTACCTCGAATTCTATACACAAAAAAAATTAAAAAGCCTATGAGTGTGAAACATTCAGCATAGTACTGGAGTACAGGTACAATCAATCAATCTGCTGGATGTTGTTCTATAGGTAAACCAGCATGATATAACCTGCACTAATCACAACACTTGGAATCATTAAAACACCAGAGCCAACAGAAATTGCAGCAAACTATTCAAGAAATGCTCATAGAACTGATTAGGGAAAAAAAAAATGAAATACCACTTTCTTCTGAAAAAGTGGAGCTAAAATCTCAGCTCTCTGTTGTGTACAGACAACTGAAAATTCAAGAGAAAAAGGCTGAACTAAGAGCACAGGATAAATCCAGACTTGAATACTGTCTGTGAGATGAAGAATTATTTAGGGTATACTTCTGCTCAATTCACACATAAGAATGGAGAGCTAGAGGAGAAAGAAAGGAAGTAGGATGAACTATATGTTCTGCGTCATTATTCCAATGCAAAAATTGCTCATTTATAAGAATTGACATAACATGCATATTAAACACATTAGACTCAACAGCAACAGCTACAGAAACATTGATTTTAGCTCAAAACAATGCTGAAGTAAATTACAGACCTGCAAAAACAGCTGAAAAATCAATAGTGCACGTAAAAAAAATTGTACATCACACATGTAGCAGTCCTTCCAGAAATAAATGCCAATGTGGAAGGACATAAGGAGGATCTCGGGAAAACAAAGTACCCATTGATACAGCCAATGTAAGGAGGTCCAGGCTTTAAAGGAAATAAAATGGAAAATGAAAGTTGAAGAGGTCTGTTTCCACTGGTCTGTGAATGGCACCGCTTTCCTACCCCGGCCCAAATTATAAAGGCAGCTGGTATTCCATTCCAGACTAGTTTGGATGAGATGTCATCATTAGCATTGTAAGTGTGGCTCAGCCAACAAAACAGTCATCCACTGAGCCATGTTCACAGGGTATAAATCTGTGCGAGAGAGGTGAAGAGTGGTTTTCCTGCCCAGAGGCTGAGTGACGCCTCATCATACCACTACCAGTGTTTTACCAGTGACTGCAGGGGATTCCCAAACCACATTAGCCCTGTCAGGTTTGCTTGCAGCTAGCTGTGTAGGTGTGCGAAGAGAGATTTCCTTCTTTCTTAAGCTCTTCATGACCATTCAAAGGACCCAACACTGAGAGGGCGATCCTCCAAAAATCCCCTGACCTTGCTTCAGTCCGCTGGAGGTCTTCTCCCAGTCTTACACTCTCCTCTTTCCAGGATCCAACAATGACCCTTCCTGTAGGCCCAAGGCTCCTAATGGTGCTGCTGATATGGGAGACCTGCCAGGTCTTGCAGGATGGGATTTCTGCCATTCTCAGTGCTTCATTCAACTGAAGGCTGTTGCTGTGCAGGTTATGTACCTGATTGCTTTGAAAATAGCACTCATCCTCCTGAAGGAAAAAAACACAGCATTCCCACCAGCCTCCCAAATGCTGGGTGATACCCATTACCAGCATTAAACCTCACTTTATGTTAGAGTTTTAGTGCATTAAACTCACCTCCTCAAGATGTTGAGGGGAATATGGATCTTAAATACTTTTTGTGATCGTAACACAACACCTTTGAAAGGTTTCGGCAATAATAACAATCAAATTAATGTTCAAAATAAAAGTCTCCTTGCAATAAAATAGCAAGCTCCAACGTTGATATTAGGTTTTGTTACTCACATCACTGTACAGGTCAGCATTAGCCTTGGCCTTAAGTAGATGAGGAACTTCAAGAGGCAATGTGTATTGGGTTTTGGTCTTTTCATATTGTGCCCGATAATTCAACTATAAGGAACAAACAGAGCAAAGGTTTAGCAAAGGTCAGAAGTGGGGACATTCGCCAATGATTACACAATGTTCAGCATCATTTGTGACTCTTCAGATACTGAAATATGCAACAAGACATGGACAATAACCAGGCTTGGGCTGACAAGTGGCACATAACATTCGCTCCACACAAATGCTAAGCAATGACTAACTCCAATAAACAGACAGACAATCTAACCACTGCCCCTGGACATTCAATGGTGTACCATCACTAAATCCCCCACTATTAACATCCTTGGGGACATCATTGACCAGAAAGTTAACAGGACTCGCCATAAAATACAATGCCCACAAGAACAGATCAGAAGCTAGGAATACTGCAATGGATAACTAAGCCTGTTCACTGTCTACAAGGTACAAGCCAGGACTGTGATCATGAATATTCCCCACTTGCCTGGATGGGTGCAGCTCCAACAACACTCAACAAGCTTGACACCATCCAGGACAAAGCAGCTCCTGCTTGATTGGCACCACACAAGTACTCACCCCCTTTATACCAATGCTTAGTAGCAGCAGTGTGTACTATCTACAAAGTACACTGCACAAATGCACCAAAGATCCTTAGACAGCACCTTGCAAACCCACAACCACTTCCATCTTAGAAAGGCAAAGGCAGCCGATGCATGGGAACATCATCATCTACAGATTTCCCTGCAAGCCAATCACCATCCCGACTTGGAAATAAACTGTTGTTCTTTCACTGTCGTTGGGTCAAAATCCTGGCATTCCCTCCCTAAAAGCATTGTGGTCAACCTACAGCACATGGACTGCAGCAGTTTAAGAAGGCAGCTCACCACCACCTTCTCAAGGGCAACGAGGGATGGGCAAGAAACGCAGGCCTATCCATTAATGCCCACACCCCTCATGTGAATAAACTAAAACTGTGTTAACTAAACCGCATACACATTACAATATACTAAATATATCCACTGAATTGAGAAATAGTGGCGGTAACCTTTCTCTTTGTGCATTCCACCTGCCAAAAATCTTTGCCAGAGATGAAAATCGATCTGTGCTTAAAGAGTGTCTTTGCAATATTTCTTTTAAAATATCTTCAGTTTAGTTAGTTTCATATTAAAAAATCATGGAATGATTTTAAAACAATCACTCATTCACATTTTTGGCAGTACCATCGTAGGTAATGCATGCTTTCCCATTTCCTGGCATTAATTTTGGTACTTTCGAGACTTACATTGCTTAGCTGCTGTGCATTAATTCTTGCTTGTACTATCTCAGGCGTGTCTGTTACTGATGCATACTTCAAGTTATCCACTTGTTGTCTGTAGTACATCTAAAAGGGCAGGTAAAAGTTTAAAATAATATAAAAATGAGTCATTTCAAACTGTGACAATGGACGCCAGATACAAATATCAAAAAAAATTAATGGAAGTACTCCATAACCAAACAATCTCCCAGTCATGACAGAATGATGGCATCATATCACAGGCCATTTGGCCCATCACACCTGTGGCAGCCATGTGACTCAGTTGCCTATTTAGTGCAATTCACGGTTCTTTACAGTTACCTTTGTCAGATATTTATCCTTTTCTTTTTTAATGTCTATTTAGTTTCCACCACTGTTGCTGATAGGCTTTTACATCCTAACAACGCTCCGGATGAGAAAAAAAACTCCTAATCTCCTCAGTCTTTTGGAGATGATTTTTAAAATTTATTCTTCAATTATGGATGGACTTTCCAGTGGGAGTAATTTTACTGAATCCACTCTGTCTGTACTGCTCAATTCTTGCCATTGTTATGATTTCCTCAAACTTGCTGTTCCAATGAAAGAAAATGTTTCTTCAAGTCTCCTCCTAACTAAAACCAATCTTGGCTGCTATCATATGAGTGAGACTGCCCTTCAGCAGTTCCATGGTCTTAACATCCTTTGTAAAACTGGGTGGATTTGTGGGGGCAGGGGTATAGGAAGTGGTAGAGGCCTACTTTAAGTTCTAAAAACGTTACATCCTGTGATCTAGCAAATCCTTTGCATTAATTTTGACAATACCTCTGATTCTGTGTGTTATGCTCTTGTTTGTGAAACATAACATCTTAGATTTTTGTAGCTTTAACAACTTGCCTGGCCATATGCAAAGAAAACATTTGATACCGAATCAGGGAGAAGTCCCAAGATCCACTGAAATTTTCAGAAACTGTTAACAATGCGCAATTGCAGTCTCACATTAGTTAAGAGTTAAGGAAGCACACATTAATTATTACTGATTTTAAATGTCAACATTTTATTTGAGCTAAATGGGGTCTCTGTTTTCCCCCATTCCCCAACATAAATACCACAGAACATTGGCTAAACCACAGGCTGTTCTAAAGGTAAATTAACGAAGTGACTTTGTAATAGATCACCAATTCTGTTTAAAAAACATTGTCAGCAGCTAAAAATAGATCACATCTCAACTGCATACCACTCGCTATGTTAACCACACTCACACAGATGCCCTCCAACTCTCATTCCTGTGGCTTTGTTATATTTATAGATTCATACACAAATACAAGGCATGCTAATCCAAAGTATCCTATTGGTTAAAGGGGAAAAACTCAAATTAGTCAGCAAGTTTATTTCTCTGAAAAAAAGTTTCAACAATAGTATCTTTGTCACAGACCCCCAAAAAAAGAAAAAGATTGCACTTATGCCATAGCTTTCACATCCACTGGATGTCCCAAAATACTGAACAGCCAAAACAAAATTTCTGAAGTGTCATCACTGTTGTAACACAGCCAATTTGTACACATCAAGCTCCCTCAAACATTACCTGACCAGATAATCTGTTTAGAAAACAAACAAAAACTGCTACTTCTGAAGATCTGAAACAAAAACAGAACTGGAGCTCTGAAGAAGCATCACTGGACTCAAAACATTAAGTTTGCTTTCTCTCCACTGATGCTGCCAGATGTGCTGAGTTTCTCCAACAATTTCTGTAATCTGTTTAGATGTTGGCCAGGGGACTGAAGGAGAAGTCCCTTAATCTTTGAATAATGGCATGGGATCTATTACATCATTTGACTAGACATAAAGGGCACAGTTTAACATCTCATCAGAAAGGCAAGGCATTCCCATACAGATAGTTTTCCTACAACGCGATAGTCACATTCTTGTGTGACCTCGCGTTATAGAAAAATCACCATAGAAAATCGTATTACAGTGATTTTCTATAGTGCGTTATAGCAATTTTCTATAGCGATTTCCCTGTACCTGTACAACAGAAAGTTTGCATTATCTAAACAGTGTCCACTATTCATCAATCGCGTTACAGCAAATTCGTGTTAACGAAACATGCGTTATGGCAGAACTACCTGTACTGCACTAAAGAGGTGGATAAAAGATTTTTCTTAAATGCGTTTTACCTCTTCATTTACTCTGGGATCTGTTTAAACAGCTTTATACTCATTTAAATATTAAGTATGTTTGTAATTATTTAAATAATTACAATCCTATTAAAAATCATACCCAACAGTTTATACATTGTTGCAATTCAGGGTGCAGCACTGTACCATACAGACTGGAAAGTCCCAGGTTAATTCCTGAGTTTGTCAAGTAGCAATGGTTTTTCTGGTTGATATGGTCTGATGAAAATAGCTGTCTAATTTCACCTCATGGGGAGCAGCCATCTTGGGGAGGTAGAAGACGGCAGTTTGAACTAGGCCCTAACAGAAACAGTGTCTAATGAAAAGTAGGATCCAGAGGAGGAATTATTCGAATGTCTTACATCTTTCAATGGGACAAGTTTCTTCAGTGTCTCATACGAAGGTGCCTGGTCAGCTGCATAAAAGCAAAGCATTTTGTCCCCCTCCAAATCCGCTTTATACTTCCTCTAAAATAAAGGAAATATTACAAAGTCAGTGTTTTGAAGGTAAAGTTAAATTCTTACAAAGTCAACAGGTAAAATTACTGGAACAACATTTCAAAACTATAAAGTGTATTGACCTTCTGACCCAGCTGTCTATCTGGGGAATGAGCTTGACTGTCCATGCATATGAATATACCTCAGTAAAACGCTAGACTGTTTGTACATTTACTGGTTTCAGTCAAGTGAACCACTGTTTATTCTCAAATTGCATGTCACTAAGGCCCAGGCTATGCCACAGCTGTGTAATGCCACTCAAGTCACCTGAACATCAAATGTTATCAATTCAATAGGACATAATCCCAACAAAACAGGGTCCTGTGGTGCACTGGTCATGTCTCTACATCAGGGCCAGCAGATTTGAGTTCAAGCCCTACCGCAGGATCTGACGGCCACAACCAAGTATCATTACACGTCCAAACATGTTGATTAAAAAACAAAATATTTCTCAAATGTTTCCATCTCAATGGGTAAGGAAATGCACTGCTTGCACTGTCCTAGATGACCTTTTGTCCTCTCTGTACCATTATCAGCTCACACTTCCAACAACTTTGTAAGCGAATTGTGAAACTTTAACTGTGCATATGTCCAACTAAATAGATACACCTCAACATGTCCATTCTAGCAAAACTTAAACCACTTCATTCCCTTTTTAATAAATTATACCCAAGATTAGCATAAAGCTTTTTATGACTTAAAGCAAATTTCTGAAGTAACATTTCCCTGTTTTGTGTCTTTGTACTCTCTCCTTAGTAATTCTCCTAGCCGAAGAAAGGCACACATCCTGTCGCTAACCAGCCACGACAAAATGCAGGAAATTGCCCATGGGTGATTTTTTTGATTTCTTTGATTTTCCCACTACGCTTTAAAAACTCATCCAAACTTGCCACTGGTGGAAACCATTATATTTAATTTAATGTGGGGATTTTAATGCCTTCGCCATGGCAGCAGGCATTTAATCAGGCAGGAGGGTGGCATGTTGGGACACTGCCACTGACGTGCATCCATCCAATTAACACCACGGCAGGAAGGCCGTTGAACAACCTTCCGCCAATACGGTCAAGAAAGCACAACAACGCCTCTTCTTCCTCGGGCGGCTCAGGAAATTTGGCATCTCCACAAGGTCCCTCACCAACTTCTACAAATGCACCATTGAAAGCATACTATCCGGGTGCATAACGGCCTGGTATGGCAACTGCTCTGCTCAGGACCGTAAGAAACTACAGAAGGTGGTGTGCAGAGCCCAGACCATCATGGAAGGCAACATTCCAACCACGGACTCTATTTTCATGGCTCGCTGCCGTGGAAAGGTGGACAACATCATCAAAGACCTATCACACCCTGGTAATAACCTCCTACAACCTCTTCCGACAGGCAGAAGATACAGAAGCCTGAACACACACACAAGCAGGTTCAGGAACTGCATTTTTCCGGCCGTTATCAGACTGTTGAAGGGGCTCTAGCCTCAAATAATGTAACCTGCAATGTAATCTGTATGCCTCCAAGTCTTTTTGATCTGTCCATCTTTTCCTTGCTGTGATCTGCCTGTATTGCTTATAAACAAAGCTTTTCACTACATTTCAGTCCACATGACAATAAAAGAAAAATCAAAATCAAGTCGGCAATTAACACCCATAAAAGGGCCTCAACATGCCACCACTGATTATGAACCCAGCCATGGGTGTGGGACTCACCATGTGCACAACATGACAGGCTCTCCACGTGGAGTTGCTTGTGGACTCCCAGAATGGCCAAGATTTCCATGTTCAAAGAGGCTTAGTACTTCATTGAGGGACCTGGAATCAGGAAGATGGAGACCCCTCATGGCCACCCCTGCCTCCCTTGCGGCCAATCATCCCCTCTCCTCCTTACTCCTCAAAACACCCTCCTCCCACCATCATTCAACTGCATCCAACAATGATAGTGGGCCACAGGTAGATGTTGTACAAGCAGAAACCACTGCTGCCTTGGCTGGTGCTGCTGTTCAAATGGAGTTGCTGGTCACTGATTGGCTGGCAGCTCGTGGGAGGTGGGACCTCTGCCCTCCAGGGTCCTTGATCCAAGGAAGGCCTGCCACTGTCCAGTTACAGTAGGCCTTTCCTGAGGGTGGTGACACTGAGGCACTCACCAGCTTTCCAGTACCACCTCCATTAAACACCACCCGATAATTCCATTGGGAATTGTACAAAACTAGGATCCAACCTGAATCCATCTCAGATCTGTGGGACTGGGAAATTTGTGCGTTGGTGCATATCTCTAAAACTGTCACATTCTTGCTAGTACTGTGCACTTGCTGCACTTAAAATTAAAATTATAAACTTAATATTTGCAGAAAAGAATGTCAGCCACCATTACTAGTTACACAGATTAGTAGTAATTTATGGCAAGAAGAAACATCCACGAATTGCAAATTGCCTCAGATTGCTGAACAATTTCCACCATGCTAGACTTTATGAAAACAACAATTTTGTACATTATCTCCCTGTTAACTTCATGAAAGTACTATATTGGCTATTAATTACCCATTAAATTGATCATGAAAAATTAATTCTGATCATTAATGAGGAAGTATCCTTTTAACCATTAATGACTGCTAATCAACCTGCCTGACCCTGAATAATTAAACAATTGTTTTAAATAAAAATATACAAACAATAACAATTAGAGTGTGGGCTCTCAGTCCTGAGTGTAATGAATTTACCAAACTGAAAAAGTATTTGAGGATTGCAGGCTTGAATATGAGAGGATATAACTGAGATTGGGAGGGGGTGGTAAAGTTGGGAGTTGGAGCTAATACAGGAGAAAAAGAGGGGAACTTGAGAATTATAGGATAACATGATAATTTTTGGGAGCTGTAATGCAATGGTTTGGGTTTGTCGCATTCACACTCCCACAGTATATTGTGACTGTACATTTTTATTTTTAATCAAGACTTAGAATAAATAATGTTGAAGTAGTTGCTTTACCCAGATCATTGCTTGAGCAGAATGGGTCATGAAGTACATATGAAGGGATGTGATGCTCACGATCAGGACTAAGTCGACAGCTCGACATGTACAGAGGAGGAATGACAAAAGCAATATGGAAAAGGAACAGGTAAGATTAAAACTTTTTTCCTGAAATGATGCACCTATTACGTGATTATGTTACACTTACTTCAGTTATCGGTTCTCACCATTATTAAAGAAGAAATTAAACAGTAACTGCTGGCAACCATATGTGCACAAGCTGGCCAGAAACAGAAATCAGGGACTTAGTGTACGATGTGCCCTGGTCCTCCAAGAGCTCTGCTATTACATTCTCAATGAGAAACTGGGCATTCACACACATGGAACTACATGCAATCTGAGGTGCTTAATATTTAGATAGCAACCTGTCAGAAAAAAGTTTACAGCACGTCTATTTCTAGTGTAAGCACATTTTAAACAGCATGATAAATCTTAATTACTGCCACATGTCCTTGCTCACAACAAAATCAACCTTACAAGTGTAGAGTTGCTTTCCTTCAAAAATTAGTGTTGGACATTTTAAAAAAGTGAAGAAAGGTTTCTTTCTTTAATATTTTATTTCATTTCTCACATAACCCTGTCTTTCTTTCGCCCTTTATTTTGTTTCCTCTACATTATTTGGCATTGAATTAAATGTTCCAACTTGCACTTCCTGGTGCCTCATACAGATTTGAATCCGACTGGATAAAGAGATATAATTTGCTGTCACAGATCACAAATCCCCTCTAGAAATAGATATTTAAATATTTGCACCATCCAGTGCAAAAGTCGAGGGAAAGTCTGCAAGCAAGTGGAAATGTAATGCACAGTTTAAACAGTTTGTCCACCATTAGCCACAAACACAAGCCTATGAGCAGTATATACTGGACTGCACTGTAATGTCTAATGGCAACTACATTTTGTGGACCATTTCTACTGGAATACAATTGAGTAGAACCCTTCTCTTGATAGATTTTTTTTGGTCAAGTGAAAAAACGGTGAAAATTAAAATGAAGGAGATATTCTATGACATGACTTGTGATTTACAAAAATGGAAAAACAATTAAAAATCACAAAAAGTATATATATGTAACAATTTAAAATAAAAAAAAACAAATTGATTCATGCTTCGACAGTGGATTACAAGTTTGAAGTAGATTACAAAGTTGAGAAATTGTACTAAAATGTTGCATTTATTTGAACTGTGTGAAAAGTACTTTAAATTACATGTGCCAATGGCAAGGGTTTAAAATGAGGGGAATAAATTATTGGCCCAAATGTTCCAAATTTGGGAGAGGCCTCTGACTTGATTTACATCATGGATAGACTATGGGACCCACACAAGCTTACATAAGTAGTTACGCAGGAAGTCTGAAGTTCTGATTGCTGGTGTAATTCTGCCTTGATTATTCCATGATTAACCAAAACCATGAAGATTTGGGCCATTTGCCAAATACATAACCTGGTTTTTAGACAGATTTATTTAGGGCTTTTAAAAGCAGGTTTAAAGCCTGCTAAGCAATTTAACTCGAAGTAAATCAGTACTTATCAAAGCACTCCAGCAATTTACAATCCCTGTGACTTTTATGTCCACCTACCACACTCTATAATGTTCACAAACTCCCCTCTGAATACCCAGATAGCATTTATCAGCCCTTCCCCACCAAACCACAGATAGCTTCCATCCCTTGTCCAAATCTTAGACAATGTTCATCTTCCACCTCCCTCAGCCCTGAGCCACAGAAGCCCTGCAGCCCATAACCACTGACAGTGCTCAACATTCTCCTCACTTCCAAACCACAGACTGTGCTCACTCCTCCCCAACCCTACCCAATGAACAATGATCACCCTTTAACACCAGCACACTGACCTCCCTAACACAAACCATGGATAGGGGTCACCCCATTCCCCAGCATTCTCAGATCCCCTCCCCCACTCCTGACTCACCTTCAAAAATCTATGGCTCCTGTCCAGCCAGTG